AATGTGGAATGACCGAAATATCCTAAAACGTGAAGTGACAGGATGTTCTAAAACACAGAACATCAGAATATGCTAAAAAAGTACAATGATTGAATATTCGAATGATTAGAATGACCTGTTAGTGAATCTTTATATGGGGGTCCAAGCCATAAGGCTTCGAGTTGGAAAATGAAAATAGTATCTGACTCTTGGTCTTCTGTAAATAGAAAGTTTTTGAAAAGGAGGAGAATTTAAACCATCACTCAGCAGATGAAATTGGAAATTGGATTATGAGGAAAAACTAACCGCACCGCAGTGGATTGATCATTCCATAATTTAGAATATTTCGTCATCTTACGCTTTCAAATATTCCGTCATTTTGTGTTTAGAATATTCCTTCATTCCGCGTTTTAGAATTTCAGGATATTACGTCGTTCCTCCATTCCTTTATTCGTAAAAATAGTGCTAGCCAACAGTTCGGCTTAAAAAGAACTTTTATGATAAGTAATCGAGCCATACACTCCCATTAAAGACGAGTCATATTATGTATGCATATAGCAAAATTGTAGACCAGAATAAAGGAGTACTAAGCCGCATTTGTGTTCATATTAGCCACATTCCAAACACGTGCTACCTGCAAAGTATCCCTTACCTCATAATCGCCTCCAATTCCTTTCCAGCTGTCCGAATTACGTTTAAAATCTCTTACAAAACACATCGGATGGTGTTTGCTCCTGCAAACCATCTTTAGGGGCTCTCAAAATTATTTCGTTTCATTCCTTCTTCGCTTCAAAATCCGCTTCATTACCTGACTGCCTGCTCGCCATTGCTATTGTGATTTGCTCTGATTTGCTTTGTCTTTCCTCATATACCCGACGCTAAGTGTCTTGGCTGCAAATCAATTACTGATCGGTAGATTTTAAAACACATCGGATGGTGTTTGCTCCTGCAAACTATCTTTAGGAGCTCTCAAAATCCTTTCAATTCATTGCTTCATCGCTTCAAAATCCGCTTCACTACCCGACTGCCTGCTCGCCATTGCTATTGTGATTTTCTTTGATTTGCTTTGTTTTTCCTCATATACCCGACGCTAAGTGTCTTGGCTGCAAATCAATCACTGATCGATAGATTTTCTCCACTTCTTTCCGACCAAATTTGGCACAAATTGGATGTAATGAAATCGTACAAAACCTAGGCGCTTTACCAACATCTTGATTGATACTGTGTGAAATAATAATACTTTAGTTGCTGAATCCTTCAACGCGTAGGGTGAAATAAATATGTTTTAAGTCAGCGTTCGTTATAACCCTCTTGATACATGTATACCTTTGAAAAAACGATCGTTTTCAAACGAAGACTTTTATGAATTTTGACATACCTTACAAACTATATCTTTAACCTGCCACTGATTCCAAGTCATTGCCGAGCAAACCTTGTTGCGGAGAAGTGATCACCGATATCGTAACAGTTCTACCATATCAATATTAGTAAACTGCGCTCTGATCGTCCTTTTCAATCATTTCTTAAATCTTCGAAAATAATAGAAAAAAGTAGTGAGTTGAGTTGCTTTTCATTCTTATGTTGTTTATCTTCTTTGGCAATTTAGTAGGCAATGTGCTACAATTCAAAGAGTAGCCCAATCATAAAGTTTGTACATTGAAAGATGAGTTTCTTTATTTTTTATTATAAGGAGACACCTCCCAAAAGTGGACAAAAATAAAACATCGATTTTTTCCCAATTGCTTCCAATCTGAAGCATGTGATCTACTTATTCATGTGTAAGAAGCAGAGCGACCCTTGGCTCCTAAATCAATTAAGGAGCTTTATTAATTTTTTTGCCATGCCAATCTTTCTCGCCCATTTGGATTGATGAAAGACGAAGAGGGAAAGGAAGAGATAAAAAAAGAAACAAAAAACCAAAAACAGATTGAAGGAAGGGTAAAAAGAACAAAAACTTAAAATATAAGAAATATATGAAAACAAAAACCAACACTTCGCTAATGGATAATTTACACCCTGCTGACGTTTTCATTAATCACTCTAACTCAATAATTGTTTTCTCATTTCCCAGCTGGTTAGTATGCAAATGAACCGAACCTTACCCGGAAGGTCACGGGGTAATGAGGTAATAATTCCAAATCAAATCTTTGTTCTCTGAAAATTTAAGCGAGTCCCTGACATCAGGATTTGTCATAATCCGAGAGATTCAGAGGAGCTAGAACCTCAAGGTAAGTAAAATTGCCTAAAAGTTTTATGTTTAAGGTAATTAGCCTTCCGTGGGTATCGTCATTTTTAAAGTTCATAATTTTCTTATTTTTGACATTTGGACATTTAATACACAAAATTTTGCTTGCTAATTTTATGTTGGAGTGTTCAGAAAAGAAAAAAATGTAAAAAATGAAAAGTACGTATATGTTATTCGCCAGCCGGGAAGTCCGTATCTGGAAAAACTGTGCCCGGGGTCTTGAGTAACGCCCGAAGCCGTAAGGTAGTACTTTCATTCTTTTTAAAACTTCACGACATTCTTGCCGAAAGAACCCGAATGATTTAGGGCTGTAATCAGAGCAAGATCCTCCTTTAACTGAAAATGTTTTTTTAGTGTAAATGATGGTTAAAACAGAAGTAAAGCAAATTTGATCTTACGGAAAGTATTATTTACTTCCATCGATGAGCAGTGTACGAATAACACCTCTGTAAATTGCAAGGGAAGTAATTGTAAGTAAATTCAAATGTATGTTTTAAAATTGTGAGAGTCTTTTTCCACTAAATAGCTAAAGTCAAACGAGACACTAGACCCAAGAGGAATTTAATGTGGCTTTTTCTCGTTAAATTCATTCGGTTTTTGTTGTGCAGTTTACGGTACAGATGGCTAGACTTGTAAAGACTTACCGAAAGCACATTTGTACGAAGTAGGATTGAAAACATCGCTGCAACGAAAAATTTCTTGAGAGAATTTAAAAATGAAATGAATGAAATTTCCATCGATAAATTCAACTGTAAACAAATATATTACAGTTGTAACTTTCTGAGAAACCTCCCCCTTTACCACATTTTGGACAGCTTGAATACTGAAAATTGCACAAGGTAGGCGGACTATGAACTGCTTACATGAACTGCCTACATGAAAATTTTCCCATGAGATATGACTTCTAAATTAAGCAACATTTCATTCTGTAAAAGCCAAACGCAACTCACCACTTCGACACATCGAAATCACATAGAGGTCAGGGGAATTAGTGTGTTGGACGGATCGATACCATAAGATGTGTAGATAGAAAAGGTACAGAAGGAAATCCTCTTGCGATCATCTGGGAATCTATCTTTGATCCTGCAATTTAGACCAACTCATAAAGTTAATCTATCAAACACACTTTACAGTTTTCAAGTAATCTCCTCTTTTGAAGTTTTAAATATTCGGCAAAAATACAAAATCTCATCTAGTCACTTGTAAACAAGGTACTGGTAAAAACGAACACGACAAGGTGGATTCAAACATCTTGATTTTAGTTTCTTCGGTAAAATTACTGCATTTTGTTCAGTTCTTGTGGATGATTTCTTTGTAGAAGACATCAGGGGTATTAGCGGTGTAAATAGGCATAAAATTTGAAAATTTCGGATTTGAAAAGTACATCTCAAATCCAAAAGAGGAAAAACATCTCGCTTTACGGAGAGATCTTAGTAGTTCTATTCTAAGTTGCAATATTAGCAGTGTTACAACTGATGGATTTTCTACTTAAGGGCGTATATTACTGAGCGTCGTAACCAAATTGAAGCCCGCAATGTGGTTAAAGAAAGTCACTTGGTCGGATATAGGGTTCAAAAACAAAGGATTATTTGAGATTCCAAGGGTGGGCTTCGGAACTGCCTGTCGGTTCAGAGTCAACATACAAACTGTTCGTTCCAGGTCTCAATATTCTCTACAATGCTGATGGTTTTTAAGGGTGCACCCTTTAGAAAGAGAATTTTGGTACTTAAAGAACTGACCAGACTGACGTGTTGTAAACAGTTCCGTTTACTATTCAAAAGGTTCTTTGAGTGGAAATTCACCAACAGGCTTCCTGTTTAAAGATATTTCGAATTCATCCTTATTCAGTTGGAAATTTAAAAGCTGGAATTCAAACCAGTTAAAAATGGGATGTTTGACTTCAAGCCACTGAATTTGGACCAAACGCGGAAAACTTTAAAATAGACAAAAGCAAATATATAGTAAACGCCACTGAAAAGAAGACAACTGATAAATAAACTCGAAAGAGTGCTTCATTGTAAAGCTCAAAAATTACTTGAAGTGGTAAGTAAAGAAACATTCGTCATTAAATTACAGAATCATTTAAAGCTTGGAGTGAAATATAGAGGCTTAAGTAAACGTTCGTTGTAAGCCCCTTCATTTAAGAAACAGTTTCTAAAATTTAAAACCTTTGAAAAAGCTATCGTCTTTAAACTGCCGGTCCGTTGACAAGAACTTACGAGAAGTCCAAGCAGTGCTACAATACAACTTAACTGACACATGAGGGTGTGTTTTTGTTTTGGATGCCCTTGCGTTAATTCAATTATTATAAGAATAATCATCATTTAGTCTTTAATAGGGAACGCCCTTCGTCCAATACAGTTCTATCTAATGAGTCTGCCTCAGTCTTAGCACAGAGCGTTGTTGAGCTTTTCGAGGTGATAAGCACAGGTTGAAACTCATTACAAGTCATTCAATACCCAATTTAGAGGACGTCTTTCATGTAACACAAACAAATTTGACATACCTTTTAAGTTGTACCTTTAACTTACCACTGATTCGAAGTCACTTCCGAAGGGTCTTTGTTACGGGGAAATGATCACCGATATCTTACTAACAGCCTAAAAACGCTAGCTTATCATTTATTTTTCATTTGTTTAAAAAAAAAAGGTTTAACTGAAATTTTTATGTATTTTTTAAAACAGTTCCCTAATCGCCTCATGTTAACACGTTTTGGTTCGCATTCTGCGGCATATGCATTTTTTTCCCCGCAGATTGTACTTCGAAAAGCAGAATAATGCATGTCCCTTTGGTGTTTCTTGTTTTTGTGTTATACACATTTAAAGAAACATGTGAGGCTTCAGTAGCCGAGAATTCTGGGCTAGGAAAAGTGATAGATCTTCGAAAGGTCAACATACTGGCCGACTTTCAGGAGCAAGAGAACAGGATCTTTGAGGAGCTCCCCCCGAAATGTCTCGTAAAGAAAACTTTGAAGTCTTCAAGCAGCCACTTCGAATATTATGCAAATACCAAGGAATTTTATAAATCACTTGCCACCCAGTCAAGCTTGAGCGCCTCTTTACAGTCCGCCTACTCGTTGGGTGTTACGGTATCAGTAGCAACAAAGAGCAAAAGTTCACAGAACACTGAAGTGAGTGGCATGTCTTTAATCAAGCAGGCGTTAACAGAAAAGATCTATGTCGATAAAGAATGTCTTCTGAATGACATCACCGACTTGAAGGAAACATTTCTGAGTGACCTGGAGGACTTGCCCGTAAACATCCAAAATCCCTGGGAAACAAACTCATGGAGAGAGTATTATGATTTTCTTAAGGAATACGGCTCTCATGCCATAACGTCTGTGAAGCGCGGATCAAGATTTCAGCAGATGACATTCGCAGAGAGCTCTAAGGCCTACACTGAAAGAGATTTCCAAGTAAAAGCTTGCATTTCGGTCGCAGGACCTTCCCAGGTTGGAAAGGTTGGCGTTTCCGCATGTTCAAACGTAAGCCAAAGTGAGATATCCAAAGCGAACGAGATGAGAACAAGCGAGAAACGCTTTGTCAGAGGTGGAAAAAGGGAAACAAATAGCAAGCTGGTAAACGAAGCGATGTCGGTTGAATTGCTTGGCCAACTCATGGATGAAGCAGATGAATTTCCAGCGTCTGTTCAGCACACCTTCATGGCGATCTGGACCATCCTAAAGAGCCGATTTAAACAGGGATCTCCTAACAATATCCGAGCCACAAACCTAGAGTACTACTACCTTGGGTTCTTGAATTATGGTTGTCCCTTCAAAAGTAGCTCTGGACTTGCCATACAAAAATTTGACCATACCAGAGGTTCCAGTGAGAAGTATCCAGAATTCGAGTGTACCCTGGCAAAAGAGGGTTGCCACAATGATGATGACTGTCACTACAAACCCGTTTGGTGCTCCTGTCGTGGTCCAACATGTGTCCATTACAAGAAAGTCAAACAAGGTGCAGGTGACTCTAAGGTAACTGCAGACCCAAACACATCAGAAGATTGGGGGTGGCATGGTTGCGATTGGAAAGTTGCGGGATCTTGGTGCAAGTGCTATAATAAAAATCGTGATCAGCGGAAAACTGTGTGGCCCTTGCCAAACAGAGATGCCGCTACACATAAAGCAGCAACCAAAACCGCTGACAAAAAGGGCGGAAGATTACTGTTTCGAAAGTACACCGCTGGGCAACAGAATTGAAAAACAAAAGAAACTTAAATTTTGACGCACTTAGATAACTTACGTAATTACTGAAATTTGGCACATTTAAAGTTAGAACTATGCGTGTGTCTCATTGTGCTTGAATAAAGGATTGAATGTGTCACTACATTTGATAGCACCCATGCCCTGTTTGTGCAGAGCTCGTACTGAAAAGCTGTTTTCCGGAGAATGAGAGAGAGAGACAGAAATAACTACTCTTAAAATGTAGTATCGATTAAGATTGATCTAAAGGGCATTGACTGAAAACTCATCCAGGTTTGCCTGATTGAATGTTTCGTAAAAGAGGGCATAATAGCAAAATAAATGAAAAATAGAATAATCGCTGAAAGGATTTGTCGTCTCCTATGATACGCTCGAGCTTAAGCAAGATCCAGATAGATTTCCCTTCCTTTATTTAGATCCTTTTAACCTGAAAAATGGCTGAAAGCCATTTCCGAGTTAATATTACGACCCCTTAAACATAGAGGGCAAAATTACTAAATGCTGATCGGCTTAGACAAAGGGTATTTATCGCTATCGGACATTATTTCAAGAGAATTTTAACGCTGACTAATACAAGATTACAAGAGTTGTGAGAAATTTGTTATTGTCAACGGAGAGTTTTCACAGTGTTCTATGTCATCACCCGTTAACTCGTTACCAATTTATGGGACACCTTTAAGACAAAATGAAAGCACTTCAGTTGAAATTGGTTTTTACATTCTTACACTCCTTAAAATTGAAAATATTCAAAAAGGTTTAACTTTGCCTAAAAGAATTATAGTTTCTTTGACGGCGAATGTTTTTTAGCAGGGTTGGTTTCACTGCTTTAACGTCGTGGTACAAAATTAAAATTTCACTCAGCTGATTCGTGCGTTTTACAGTTAGTCGACGCTAACTGGACACAAGTGATATTTGTCTTGATTTTACTCAGTCCATGCGATTACTTATGCAAATTCACTCCTTCTGTTCCTCCTCCCTACCAGTTTATTTTCCGAGGTCATTAGCTCGCAGCCGCTTAGTTGATTATTAGTTTTTTCTCTTTGTTATCTTCTTTTTTAATGATTGCGATCCATGAAATAATTGGGCGTCTATTGATGATTTTTACCCAATATAGTAATAGATACTAAAACTACATGTTTAAAGAAAATTTGAGTGGTAATTGTAAACTAACAACAGAAGTTGAGCGGAGAAGCAAGCCGCGACGAACGCTGACTTTACCGTTAAAAGTCTACTCATTATCTAAGTGGCACATCGTTACTAATAACATATATAATAACAAAGGATTTGGAAGAAGAAAGGAAAATTCATTCTGGGTCGCTATCCAGCGGATAAGTGATAGCAAAACGTTATTCACCAGATAGAGATTTATCCAGTGGATAGTGTTATCCGACCTTCGAACAACCGAGGCCTGGTCCACGTATATTATTCAAGTTATCGGTAACTTCCTCAAATATGCTAATCTTCCTTTGCAGATTGAACTTACTCTCATAACAATATTTCGAGGGAAAACTGCGCCCATGTTTCTACTCATTTTGATGACCATGTTCCTGACAGCCATTCCTATTTCGAAGAAGTTGAGGGAAGCAAAGGAACCGAAGCCACAAAGGGAACAGCAGAGTTTTGAAAAGCGATAAACCTTCACAAAACCAACATATAAGAAGATTGTGAAGTATCTCTTCACCATAGCGACCGTCACAAAGCGAAGCATCAAGGGCTGATCAAAGAGGAAGGGAGTGCAGAAAAACTGTAACAATGAGATTTATCGTAAACAGAAACATGACGGTGAATCGTCAATCGTTTAAATTTGATTACGTTGATACAGATTGAAATGAAGGACCAAATATCTTAAAAGCAATTTTGAAAAGTGTGTAGTTATTCATAGTGGTTAAAATATTAAATAAAAACAAATGGTGTCACACATACAATGGAGAAAAATTGGACACTTTCCAAGAAATCCATCAAAGAAAACAAAACTAAAGTTAAGGAAAACTCGAAATTTTCAAAGAAAAATCTTATTCAAATGCGTGTATCCTGCTGATTTCCTATTTTGTGTTCAGATTTATCAGACGATTTTAAAACACCGTGACCCACTTGCTTGTGTGTTTGTTGACAAATTGATTCTGTTACCCTGAAGGCTCGCTACCTTTCCACTACTACGCACGCGCATGCCAAGATACGCGTTCGAGCCTCACCTAGTGTTTTAGCTTCTTATTCAACTCTTTTTAAAGAGATTGAAAAAAGAAAACATATGAAAGAAGAGCTCTTTATGACGTACATAATTAAACCAGCCCTGGGATAAGCCAAAAAGAAGGATGTTGTTTAGATGAATAACAGTTAAAGGTCTCAGTTTTCCTGTCACTGTCCAATTTAAAGCGTATTGATTTTAAACGCGTACTTTCTGATACGTTGCCACCTTCTGTCAAAATCAAAACACCCTAAATGCTCCAGATAGAAGTGATCAAATGATTTTCGATGACGTTTTCAAAAGTTTTACGAATTTACAATCCAAAGACCCTAATAGGCGAATGGCTATACCAAAACTTTTTTCCGTAACCGCCGAAAACCAATTACAACTAGTGGCACTCCTGATGAGAGGGAACCAGCTACTGGTTTTGCTGTTATTCCCTACATTCACGGTGTTACGGAACCCATAAAGAGAATTTTAAAAAGCCACAACGTTAAAGTTGCTCAAAAACTTTTTCAGACTTTGGGGCATAACTTTGCCAAAGCTAAGGATCATGTCACGAAAGAGCAACGAACCGACGCTATTTACTCTATCCCGTGCAATGACTGTGATAACAAGTATATCAGACAGACCGAACGTCAGTTTAGTACACGTTTGAAAGAGCATCAAAGAGCGGTAATCTTTTGCAAAAAAGAAAATTCAGCTTTATCAGAGCACACATGCCTAAACAACCATACAACTGGGCGGGATAAGTCTAAAATTATCACCACTAATCGGCGTTGCCACCAGTGCCTTTGTTTGGAAGCCTGGCATATTAACTCCACCCACGCTTCTTTAAATCGTGATGATGGCGGGTCACTTCCTGACACCTATTTACCCCTAGTCAGACAAAAGGGTCTCTTGTTGCAGCGTTTAGATCACCCCTGATGAAGGCGCTAGACAAGAGTGTCGAAACGTTGGGTCTATGAATTGTAACTTCTCGGTTACATTCATTAAATCTTTATACCAGAGTTATACCATGTCTGATTGTGCACCTGGTTGCCATGTGAACTTTAATATATTAAAAACTGAGGAGTTAAAGATTGGCCTCCGGGGCAAAGTTTTTAAACTACCGTTTTCGTGTTGGCGGACAAAAAAAAAATGGAGTTGGAGATTTCCCAATCCCATCTTAATAAAACATACCTGTTGACCAACGAAAAAGATTCGAATACGCTGTTTAGTTGGGTATATATTTATTATAACGGTGGAAATGGAAGGAAAAAAATCCTCTACCTCTGTAGATTACAACTAGCCATCAAGACTAAGCAGTATTATCCCTTCCTACATACGAGCGGATTTTAACCATTAGTGGTTCAAACCCAAACAGCATCGTGTTACAGATTCGTACAAAATTGTCTCGCGCACAGGAAAAAAAGTTAGCTGAAATTACATAAATCTATGTTCTGGGTGGCATCATCGCAAAAATATAATTGACAAAAATAAATAGTTTGAATGCTCTGCTTTGTTTTCATATCTGCGCGTTTACACTGGAGATAAGTGATCATAAATTAAACGCGGACAGAAATTATAATGAAGGCAGGAATTCAAAGAAATACTACCTTTTAGTACCAGTCGGTGACAGATGATATAGTGTTGATACCTCTTCCCCCCTTCAGGTAAGGAGTGGAGGGAGTTTGGACTGGTTGATTAATTATCCTCCTGGATAACTAATCCCGTTTTTACGAATAATTTACCATTCAACACAGATCTAATAAACCTGTCGACACCTCTTCACCCCTCCAGGCAAGCTTTTCCCTCCTGGAGGGAGATTGGACTCGTTGATTAGTTCTCCTCCTGGATAACAAATCCCGTTTTTACACGTAATTTACAACTCAACATAGGTCTAATATAACTGTCGATATCTCTTCACCCCTCCAGGCAAGCTTTTCCCTCCTGGAGGGAGTTTGGACAGGTTAATTAGTTCTCCTCCTGGATAACCAATCCCATTTTTACACGTAATTTACCACTCAACATAGATTTAATATAGTACGATCATCTCATCAGAATTTGATCGCAAAATTGATCGGTGACTTGGCGGGATTGACGGGAAATAACAAGCGCGTCTAAGCCTTCAATAGTGAGCCTGTGGCTCACTTTGCGCCCCAAACGCCTGCCTAGACCTTTGTCTGGCATAGCTATCTGTGTTGTTTATCACCCTCCAGGTCGACCTGCCGAAAGTCACAAAGAGCTGAATGACTATTTAATTAATACTACTGATCGTCTGCGTAACGAGCATCCTGATCATGGTCTGGTTCTTCCCGGCGATTTCAACGATTTCGATTGTACTGGTTTCCTATCACAGTTTAAAGCAAGTCCTTCAACAACCTACTAGAAACTCTGCTATCTTAGATCTTATGTAACAAACATGCATAACTTGTATAGCAGCCCAACTATTCATGCCCCGCTAGGCTAAAATGATCATAACATCGTATTTTGGCAACCTGGTCTAGCGCACAGGCAGTCCCCGCGGGTTAATCCCCCTAAGCGCCTAGTGCGCCACTACCCTCGATCTGGAATTGATTCTTTTGGAAGATGGGTTACCACACATGACTGGTTCACCGATCTCGGCCCCAGTCCATCCGTTGATGATCCTGGTTTAAGGATAATAAAATGGAAATTAATACTAAGAAATGTAAGATCACGAGAATCACAAGGAAAAAGAGTCCTCTGGTTAGGGATTATTACATAAATGATCAAAGTTTGGAAAGTGTACATATATATAAGGACTTAGGTCTGCTCGCTAGCTCTAATTTATCATGGAATTCACATATAGATTCTATAACTGCTAAGGCTATTAAAGTTCTTGGTTTGGTTAAAAGAACGTGTATGGATTTTAAGGATATTACTACATTAAGAACATTATACTGTAGTCTTGTTAGAACATTGCTTGAGTATTCATGCGAGACCTGGAATCCTCACACTCAACGTAATATTAATAGAATAGAGGCAATTTACAGGAGGGCAACTAAGTTTATCCTTAAGTCTAACGAGAATTATAATATTGGACTAAATAATTAGATTTACAAAGTTTATATAATAGGAGATTTATCAGGGATGTTGTATTTTTTATTTAATTAATGAAAGGGCATTATAATCTTGATATTTCTGATACGTTGCTATTTTGCTAATGAACGTAATGTAGATTATAATTTAAGAAAAAAATGACTCTCTTGACCTTGTTAGTATAGTAGAACTAATAGTTTTAAATATAGTTATTTTATCCACATTATCATTGAATGGAATGGCCTACCCAATCATATAAAAGAATCTGTTAGTATTTCTAGTTTTTAAGCATAAAGTTATCATTTCTTGGATATACTTAGTTCTACTCTTAGAACGGATTATAATGGAGAATTTTAGATCTTTTAATTTTACATTTAGATTATTTTATATTTTTACATATTTTCTTTTAATTTTATATTATAGATGTTTTCTTTATCATATTTTAGTTTACTGAAGAGCATCCCTCGTATGGTGTCTGGTGCGCTTTTTGGATGCTTCCCTCTCCACCTTTATCTTAATTTAAAGTTATAATTTTATGGTTTGGAGAAAACTGTAATAAATAAATAATAAATAAATAAGTTATAAATTCTCGAAGTCGAATCTTACCCACTCCACTCAGCAGAAGAAACACTCGCCGACCTTGACAAAACTGACGATTTCCAAGGAAATACGGTCGAGATATTGTTTCTTGAATCCATAGAAGTCGGAAAAGACGCTGAAATTTCTCGTAATTCGAAAGCTCTATCCACTCGAAAGCGCAAATATATGACAAATAATTTAGAATATTATTTGTAATTCAAACGAATTTTCCCGCTTTCAAAGGCGGATTCAAAATAGTCGACACCGATCTCCTCAGTGGGTTTCGTTCCATTAAAAAGCGAAGTATGATGCCAAGGTGAAGGCTGGTTTTGAAGTTAGTGAAGTTCAGTGGGGAGGTGCAACTATTCTTTCTTGGATTTAGAAATGTTAACACGAACCTAGACAATTTTTTTTCCGGGAATTCGAAATGCTTTGAAAAAAGTCTGCACACGAGCATGAAGAAAAGAAGTCATCTCATTCTAATTACCATTGTCATCGCAATACAGTCTACATGATCTCAACTTCCTTAAGAAACTTAATGAAATTACAAACTCCGTTCGTCATTACCAATTCACCCATGATTTAAATTTATCTGTTTGTTTTTTTTAAGGAGATTGAAAACCAACAAAGCCACTAGTAGAAAATTTTAGAGCGTAATATTTAAAGTACTATTTTTCTACCATCTATTTTGTCCCTAACGCCGTTCCTGCACTCTGCTTACAATTTTCTTTTCCTGTAATATAATTTCAATATTTACCTTTAGCCCTTTGACGTTGCGTCGGTACCAAAAAGCACACGGTTTTCAGGTTAGAAGAGATCTATGTTTTAGTAGGGTTTTCTATTCGAAACTCAAGAGTTTTTCCATTGTGAGGAGCTTTGAACAGGAATGAGGAACCTTGTGATGATACAAACCTTTGCTTTTCAAATGCAAATCTTTGTTATCAAGTCTAGATCGTCTCTATCACAACAAGGTCACCTTTGCGTTGGCCTGGCAATTAAGAAGTAAAATGGGCCAGTGGCCTGGTTTTTTTCCGTTACACAGTTTCATTGAGCAATACTCATGATAATGATATAAAAAAAAAACTCCTCCATATCTCTGGGTCGAAGAGTCAGGCGGGCGAGATATTTAATCTTTGAAAGCTACGCGAATTTCGCTCATGTGAGTCATTTTGACCAATAGTTAAAAACGAAAAAATCTTCTTGAAATGTTTAAGTCTTTTAACTTTCCATCTCATCTACATTTAAAACGAATTCTCTTTAATTTCATATTGATAACTCTGCGTGTGCTCTTTACATAAATTGTTGTGACGGTCCCCACTTTCGCACTTCCAAACCAGGACACCCCATAATCATCACCATGACGTCATTCCTTGCCCCTCCCCCCCAATCCTTCTATCATCTTTGAACAACAAATGGGCAGGATCTAACTTGATACGCCGATCGCTAAATGAGGAGAGCAACCAAATTTCTCTTCGATTTACAGACTTACACAGAAAGAACCACGAGGGCCAACACTTGTTGCGAATTGAATCGGTGTTCGCTCTATACTATTTTCAAGCTGAAAATGTTCACGAAGAGGCATGCCAGTGTTAGTCAACCAAACGTTGTTGTTATTTTGGGTATAGGGAAACGTTAAGTTCATTCAAGACTATTCGTCGCTAAAATTCTACTTTCAAAAAAGCGTAGAGAAAATTAATTGTATCAATTACTTTGAAGAGATAGGTCTTATTCGACAAAATGAGTGAGAATGTTTCATTAAGCTGTTCAATTGTATTTAATATGTTAATTTCGAACATCATTACAGAGCATACTCTTAATAATGTTTTACGAGAGTAGAACGAGGAGTACATGTACGTCGCAATTTATCCTCTAGTTGAAAAAAAAAAAAAAAATGCTCTTTTTCCTTCTTTCCCTTTCTCTTTTGCGTGCGGTTGGTTGTAACGTTGTTAGTAAACTCTTGTCATAAATACAATATACAAAACAAACTAACAAATAAACAAACAACACACTTGGGAAACAAACATTCCTTACATGGAATTTTAACTGTTGACGTACAACTTTTCTTATACAAGGAAACTTTTGATTCACAATTCGGGTTCAATCAATTCGTAGACCAGGGCAAGCCTGTTTTGTTTGTTTCACTTTGTGTTCCATTTTTTTTAACATATGAGGTTTTTTAGTAGACCATTGAACATCTTTACGAACCACATCTGGTTTCCTTTTTTTTTTGGAGAACATTTTCTATACCAAACAAGACAATCCTGGTGGTATTTGAACCGTTGTCATGACAAAACAGTTTTCTAGTGTACCAAAGATAACCTTGCCACCCTGTTTCTGAAGAATACTTGTCATGAATCAGGATTGTCACACCAGGGTGTCTTCTCTAAATCGCAGTTCAAGTGAACGTTTAAGATCGTACAAGGCGCTCCATTGATGTTAAGATTAGTCCGTTTTTCAACTCTGTAATTCAATGTGGTTAGTCCCGTTTCCCTGTCTTTCTTGAATGACTCCTGAGGTTAAAAGAGGACAAAAGTAAGACTGGCATTGTTTGAGTAACCAGAGCTTAAATACAGTGGTGCAGGAGTATGAAAAAAGAAACCTTACCGACATGATAAATACCTGGTAACGGATTGATCTTTCTAAGTTGCTATTGCAGAAAAAACGAGTCTGAAAAAATGCAATCTTCGATCCCAGGTTCAATTTGTTTCTTGATATCAAGTATAAATACAATTTAATACATAATAATTTTGCAACAGCAGGATAAGTAAATAACATTGTTGAAATGAAGTTTGCTATGAATAAGAAAATAAGTAGATAACAATGCAAATCAAGTCGGTGTGATCGTTTGAGTGGAAAAGTCATGATTCTGTAGATGATTTCCATTCAGGTCGCAGTGATATCAAATGATTAGAGGGGGTAAGTTTCTATAGAAACTGTGGTGCTGTGTCGGTGGGAGAGTATAACTGAGTTGATAACGTAAATTGGCCACCGTAAAGAGTTTAAAAGCTGACGTTTTGAGGGTTAGCCCTTCGTCAGAGCGATTGATGTCAGTCTCGATCAGCAGTTCCTTTTAGAACAACCCTTGCTCGGACGATAAGTTGTCAACAAGAGATGCTTCATTACCCCTAAGTTAATTTGTTTCCATTTAGTTTAGATTAGCTTTTATTTTTTCTTATTCACGGCGGAATTGATAAACATAAATGAAGGGTTGCCGCGAATCGAGAAAAGTTGGCCTTACGTAAAAGAGCAGATCCACAAGACGCTTGCGCGCAAGCTCTCTTGGGGAACAGGGGGGAAGGGGGTTTGGAGTAGACGGCAGGGAAAGACTTCTTTCTTCTTCTCTCCCCCCCCCCCTCCTTTCCCGCAAGAGAGGTTGCTTGAAAGCCACTTTATATCCTACTATCCTGTGTAAAACGCGCAGTTTTCTTCATGCCTCTAACATATCATGGTAGCCCACCTTTTTCTGATTAAAAAATCTGGCATAATCTCTTTTTCTTTTCTTGGAGTCATGGTCATGCTTGAAGGTGTCATAACCAGTGGTTATCTTTTTTTTACTATGTCGATAAATCTGAAAAAGAACAACACACTGATTAATAACACCAGCAACCGTAAAAAAAAAAGGTATTAACGGTGTAAGTAAAGAAAAACATTTGTTCTGATTGGTCAATAAAGCATTAACTACCGTCGAACCTCTCCACAACGGCAACCTGAGGGACCGAGGAGGTCGGGAAGGGGAGGTCTTGGCTGGTACAAGGGTATAGGAAGTCGTAAGGAGTGGTGTAATATGACTCCTGTTGTGGCTTTTAGATGGGTAGAAACTTTTAAACCTATAACTACATTACCAAAAAGTTGGGAAACGGGTTGACAAATAAAATGATCAAGATGAGGTACAGACAATGTCCACTTTTAGCCTTGAATGAATTTCATATACAGATACGTAATACGTTCTCGTTAGAGGAATGAAAACAGTCAAGGATTGTCAGCTCAAGGGACTTAACACAAATTATGTTTCACTGTTCCTCAGTAGCTGTTGGTCTGCCGAGGCCCGTCGCAAGCGGTTACCTTTGCGGAGAGGCATGATTAGGAGAATTTGATTAACAAACAAGAGCTTCTACTGTTAGAGATCATTCTTGCTATAATTCTCACTACTTAGATGTTTTATTCAGGGGTGATACTTTAACCCTTTAACTCCCAAGATTTGATTGTTAATTCTCCTCTGTAGCTGCTACACATTTCCTTGTAAATTAGTTATGAGAACTTGGTGCTAGATCAATATAGTAGCTTCTACCTGACAAGTTTGAATATTCTCATCACCTGTTTGCTGAAGAATGTATGGATATTGTAGGGAGAAGTTTTATGTTAATCACTTCTGGGATTAAAGTGTTCAGGAGACACTAGAAGTTTTTCGTGGCTTAATAAAGGTTTCAATGTACTTGGATAAAAACATTGCTGCGACTTACAGTTAAGCCAGCTTCTTTCATTCTCTGGTACAGCTCATCATCTTCTCGACCCCAGCCCCAAAATTTGTTGGAGAGCCCATTAACCTAGAAATAAACAAAACAACAATGTGTCTGGACTGAACTTAAACTTAATGGTTGTCAATTGAGGGAGTTTTTAATGAAAATTTAGCAGCAAAACAACCTAATGTTGACTCCAAATTATGCCCTCAAATAAAACCAAACCAAGAGATTGATATATACTCATTTCCTGTACTGGTTTTTAGCATTTCTCATCAGTTGTTACAATCTGTGTCATGGCAGATGACACAATAAGGTATTATGAGTGAGATAATATTTGCCCCCAATTCCTTACTTTGACTGTCTCCAAAGTCTTCATACTACATGGAATGAGGAAAGGAGGCATTAAGTTTAAGTGTAATAAATTTGAAGCCTTTACCCTGGAATTTGGAATCAAAAGTGGCCAGAGGCTATTAACCCTTTACACCCAAACATCAGTTTGGTTATTCTCCATAATGTTCTTTCTTTATTTTCTAAGGTGCTAACATGAAGAATTTGCTTAAAAAAATCAAAATCTCTTTATTCTCTTGACCTTTATGTGTGATAATCAGGTGATAACATGAGGAGAAATTAGATGCCGGTCAATCTTAGGGGTAAAAGGGTTAAAATCAATGATGATAGATGTTGAATAACATCAGCCCTTTAACTAAGCCAAAGAAAAATTCTGAGAATCACACAAAGGGACAGAAAAATTCTTTTGGTATACATGCTTATGGCAACTCTTTGACATCTTTCTTAGGTGCATCAATATTTGATTCCACAGGTAGTATTACTATGAATTCTACTATTCTTACATGTATACAGAAAATTTTTCTTTACATGCCTACAAAATTTGACTCACCTTTTCAAACTGGGCAATTGACATAATTAAAATTCCACCTACAAATGTTGGATAGTGATATTTTGGATGTAGGAAGGGTGCTGATACATGAAAAGGTCCTCTGTCAGGAAATCCATAATATAAGTCCTTGTTAAGAGGAAGGAGATCCACATCATGCATAGCTATATAGTCACAATGATTTCCTCTTGCCTCCAAGAATCCAGCATTTAAAAGGGAAGCTCTATTGAATCTGTGAGAAAAAGAAACAAAAGTAAAGTCACATATTGAAGGTAATTATCTGCATGATCAGCAGGTATGTTAGAGAAGCAGGTAATTAAGTGTTAGCAACTGAGTTGAAAATGTAAATTGACCACCTTAAAAAGATTAAAGGCAGATGTTTTGAGCATTAGCCCTTCATCAGAGTGATTGATTATATTAGAGAAAGATGTACATGTTACTTACTTGCCATGAGTGTAGGTTTTGACCTTCAGATATCTTAGTTTCACTCACTAGCACTTGGCTAACATGTTGGTGAACTATACCATACACTACAGTATTCCAGCAAAAAGGACTTATTCTATGTTTACATAAATGGACAAACTATACTAGTTCATGTGAACAATTTTCTGTTCCAACCACTTACCTATGCTTATCAACTTGGTTAACAATAAATATTTTGTGTCTGACTTTCTTGTCATTTAAATACTTGTGCATATGGGGAACAAATTCAAGCAGCTCCTCAAATCTGTCCCTGTAAGGAACAACCAGTCCAAGTTGATGTGGTCCCCAATCCTTTTCAGGAAGTCTCTCTTCTCTAATGATACTTTCTAAAATGAAATTTCCAACCATAAAGACATTAGCCTTTTCAAACAATATCTTATGAAGTTTCCCCGGAGTAAGGGAGCTTGGATGCTATTACAAGGAAGATAACAAACAGGTAATACCTGAATACCTGCTTCATGTCAAATACATTAAAGACTGGCCCTAAGAGTACAGATGGAGAGTCACAAAAAAAGTTGTAAATTGAATCAAGATCCTAGATGAATGGAACTCCATTCCTAAAATCATTATGCAAAGCTACATAAAGCTGATCCTCTGAAACTTAAGCTCTCTGATAACAGAGGATGAGAACAGATTACTGAAACAAAGAAAATTAGGACGAAAAAATTTTTTACACATGTTAGAATAATACCGAAGGGAAGTATAGTTCAAATTATTTGTTTAATAAGATTCATATGAAAAAAATAGAGATACTTGCTGACAAAATGAAACAAAATGTATCTAAGGAATACTACAGTGTGCTTTGACAGATAGATTCAAGTGACAAAGATTGCCATCTACTGGCAAAAAGGCCTTGGAAGGTAAAGGTGTAGACATGGCTTATGGAAGAGAATTGAACTACAGTTTTGTTAAGAAGAAAGAGGAATAAGAATGACAACTAAAAAGAACATTATATATAATTCACAATGTCTCTTAACTGCCACATTGGAAATTGATAAAGGGAAGTGTTATTGGATGAGAAAATTAAATGGAACGAGAAGAAGCAATCAAGAAAAGTTAAGTTAAGTTAGGGCATCAAACCCTGACCATGTTTGAGACCAAATCTATTAATTTTGCTTCCCATTTTAAAGGAGAAGTGAAGCCGAAAATTTCATTAAAAATGTTACTTTCAGTGCATGTGCATGACCAGCTGTAAAGGAATAGAATGAAGTTTTGGTTATCATTTTGTTTGTTTCTTCTTCATAGTGAGAAACTTAAACTTAAACTTACCTATCTCTTGAGTGGTGGGGAAATGAAAGATCTTACTGAGTAACATGCAAAGGCCACATATCAGAGTATATTGAGCAAATTGCCTGTATTTGCCAATTTTGAAAGACAATGACTAAACTAAAATCGATGTGTTAATAAATCACTCATACTGCTGACCACCCTGCTAATTCAGTCTCTGATGCAATTCATTTAGATGCAACTAAGTGGAGAAATACTCTGAAGTTTAGCCATAACTTTGCTGATGACCTGTGATCAACATGTAGTTCTTGCATTTCCCTTAAATATTTCACCGTTGATTTTATTATGTTACAAGCCCAGGAAAATATGGTTCAAGGCCATATATACACCACTATTAATTAAATTACCATATGTAATTACTAATTACTTTCCTTTGTACGATTATATTTGATTAGTCCATTTAATTTTTAGAAATAAACTGTCTGTTTTAATAGTAAGAAGCGGAGCGTTAAACAAACAAATCAATGCCGACACGTCATCAAGAGCGCTAACGAGATTTTTACGTCCACGCGACGATAATGAAGCTCGCAAGTAATGTATTACAAACCATGATTGTACGTACCCTTTGCAGGAGTTTGGACGGAATCTCCGTTTGCTCTTTTTTGTTTCTCTGCAGCTATTTTAAAATTGTCGTCTGAGTGTGGAAAGTCGTGTTCATGTGCAGAAAACCTTGCGCTCTCGAAATATTGACGACAATCACAGCCATTTTCATTTAAGTATTTCATCGATATCCATATTGTCCCAGCAATCGCGAATGTTAGATAGAAAAACATTCCAATAATGACTCCACGGGGTACAACAGCCATCTGGAGACCACATCTAGTTAAATTCCAGTTTGAAATTCTGTATCAGTAATATCGGCTGGTTGAGAAGTTGCGTCCGATAACAGATGCTGAACACATTTCTGTAGTAGATATAGCATTAATTCAACTGGTTTTAAAGTAGTGAAAGAGTATGTTTGTCCACTTTTAGATAATTTTCCCTTTCCCCCATGAATTGATAGTGGTAAAGATATTATTTTGGCTCAATGGAGCCAATGCACAATCCCCCGATTTCTTCTTGTTTTCGAGTAAGTCCTCGAAGCCCGCAGATATACAGCGGGTTCTAACGGTTTCTCGAAAATGTGTGGTATAATTGACATAATTGGAATCGACTGGAATAAACTATCATAGCGCATGAGCAGTGTAACTCCACGTGGAAAGCCAGAAGATCGTGAAACCTGCCGAAGTAGAATTCTTCGTAATAATGGTTTCTTTTATATGTAATGTATGTGGTCAAACAGTCCGAAAAGCTCAGGTAGAAAGACACTATCAGAACGACTGCCGTAATTGCGAAGTTCTGTCGTGCATCGACTGCGGGAGGGACTTCCATGGTGATGAGTACACTACGCATACATCGTGTATAACTGAGGCAGAGAAGTATCAAGGAAAGCTCTATAAACCAAAGGATAGACAGAATAAAGGTGAACACAAGCAGCAAGAATGGCTTAAGGTGATTAAAAGGATGACATTTTTCACATTATCAGTAGTCAATTCTAACGGCGACTGACCATCCAGTAGAAGTTTTGTCGCTTATGATTAGAGTTACACGTGAGCATTGAAGTAAGCTTAATGTGGATCTTCAGTCCATTAACTTCCGAGATTTGATTTTAGATTGTGCACATCTTAACTCTACCCTAGAGCTGTTACACATCTCGTAAATCAGTCTCGAGAATCCGGTTTTTGATCAAGATAACAAGTTCTACCTGATAAGTTTGAGTGTTCTCATTACTATTTTGCTAATAATGCTCGGATATGTATAGGTAATAATATGATTTCGAGTGCAATTTGATGTTAAGAAGCATGTGTAAATTTTTTAAAGACAACAAAATTACAAGTGCTTTTTTTGCAGCAAATTGCATGAGAAATCATGTTGTTACTTGTTAATATACAATTTTCATAAAAAAAGGATCACAGAAAGTCAAGACAGACAAAATAGTACAAGCTATTTGTAATTTGCATTTGTGCTACATGAAAAATGCACTCATTTTCAGCCAATCAGACACATAATTTTTCATGTATGTTATTATTTAAGGAAAAGTTACATTTAAATCTCATCTGGGAGTTCAAGGGTTAAACTTTGACCCTTTTTAACCAGAGAACTCAATGCTTTGTATCAATTCTTATATTAGGGCAATTAAGGGTTGTGATTCTTAAACCTTGACAGATACAGCCTTTAATTTGTAATATATGAACTAGAACTTAAAATTCTTTTTAGGTGTAGAGCTGCAGTACAGCATGTCTTTTTGCAGTACTTAGACAATCCCTGTGGTGATGACTTAACTTAGGACACCTATGATAACCTCAAAGAGGATGATTTCGCATAAGTTATTGTATCTGAACAGGGAAATAATCTTTAGATTGATAATTGAAAATAGTTTTCCTTTTGCTTTAGTTTTACTGCAGATTTCCCTTTTGCATTCTAAAGGAAGTGATTAACATTTTTTTTCATTTTATCATACTTTTTTTATAATAGTATTGCACTTGTATTCCCAAATTTAAAACTGGATTCAAGTGTGTTTTATGGTTTAATTGTAACCCCATAAATTATGGTTCCTTTGGAGAATACTTCCAAGCATCAGTTTGATTTTTAAACAATCTGAGATGAAAAGAAACATTTCTTTTTCTGTCCTTTTTATCAGCAAGTGAGAGAGGCATCAAGATCCCAAAAGGTGGATCCACGTTTGTCTAGCCTTCTGGACAGAATTAGTGAATATTCCAATATTCCAAGAAAGAAAGTTAAATTCCAAGTAAGTAAGATATACATATATTTGTAATAAACTTGTAACTAGTAGTTGTACAAAATGTTAAACTCATCAAATAAGTTTTCATCATGGCTTATCACTGAAGAAAAGGGAGATGAAGTAACCTGATCATTTTACTTGGACAAGAAGGTTGACTCTGTTAGGAAACCCTTGGCAAAATGCTAATAGACAGAGCTACTTAAGAGACTTCTTGCCACTTCCTTCAAATGAAACTGGATAAAGTTCTCGCAGAACTGTGCACTGTCTTTTGTTACTGCATGTTTTATTTATCATGGGGGGAAAGGCTGAACATTACTTAAAGTTGTTTCTCTCTCTCTCTTTCTCTCTCTTTTTTTTTTTCTTAATTTTTTTCATGTGGTGATGACCCAGCTAAGGACTCTTATACATTATTTTTCCAAGTTGATGATAGAGAGCTAGTCCAGTTTCTCTCTAAGTGTAGTTTTGATTGTATTGTCAGAATTTCTGCAAGAATAGCATTGGTGTGCGAGATGATGTAACTTTGGACAAGCTGTGGAACCTTTTCTCAGAGAGTACAAAGGTAAGGAGATTCCAAAATAGGTTATGCAGTCACTTTTGTTGCAAGAGTAATGATAGGTTAAGCCATTTCTTTAATTGACTAATACTAACCATCTTTAATGGTTAGTATGCATAACTGGTGATAAAAAAAGTCTGTGTTTGAGTCAAGACAAGGGTCATTGAAGTCTGCACTTAGCACGGATCTTAACTTTTACAGTGCCTCTCTCCAACCAGACACTAACCCTTTATACCCTAACATCAGTATGCATATTCTCCATACTGTTTTTTATACATTTCCAAAGGTGTTGACGAGGAGAATTTGTATACTGATCAAAAGCTTTTTTTTCATTGGTGATCATTTCCTTTATTCTTATGACCTTATTGTGTGATTCAGGGGTGATATTGTTGGGGAGAGAAATTAGATGCTAGTCAGGAAATCCTGTTTCAATTAGAGGGATAAGGGTTTTCAAAGGGTTAAATAAGTATAGGTGCCACTTACCTTCTCTTTTTAACCCTTTAATTCCCATGAGTGATCAAGATATAATTTTTCCCTGTAATACCAATACAATATCAGGCAGAAAGGATTAATGAAGAAATATACAATGGGAGGGTGTTTATCAAACTGTACAAACTAACATGTTCATTGTAACTGTCTGAAAATGGGCCTGAAATAAGATTCAGCTGGTGTGCAATATTGCTCAAGACTATTTGTTTGAAATGTTTTTTCAAAAAAATTAAACTTACAATGTCAGTGATTTACTTGTAAAGTTTTGTGGGTCAAAGCATTCAGAGTCATTATTGCTTGAAGATACTGCAGCAGTTAGTGCAACAAGAGCCATCTTGGCTTTTTGTATTTCATTTACCAGAATTCAAAAGAAGAGGGTGTGACTAGCAGCAATGGTGTTGTTGACCACGAAAAAAGCAATGGATCATGTTTTCAAAGTAATGCGGAAGACCAGTGCAATGGAGATTCTACAAAACATACAGTAAAAGAAAAGAATCATGAAGTTGATGATGGAAATGTTGAACAGAACTCAAAAGATAGGAGAGATAAAAAGACTAAAAAACACAAGGAAAGGAAAAAATTAAAAGACATTGACTCTTTTGAAAGTGAGCAGAGAATAAAGGAAAAGAAATACAAAAGCGACTCACATGGGAATGCAGAAGAGTCAGATAAACTTGTTGATACTGAAAATGAACAGAAAAGAAAAAGAAAAAGAAATGAAGAGGAAGATGGTAAAGGTAAGTCTCTGAAATGAAGCTCCTCAGACTTCATTTTCTTATGTTCATTACTGTAGAACCAAGCCATCAGAGCAGTGACCTTACAGCAGACTGAGGTAACATACGTGTAAGGTGGAGCTAAAGAATCAATATGTGAATGATATTTTTTCTGCAGAAATCTATCAAAAAGTGGACAACTTAACAAGTGTAGTTTATTTCAAGGTGTAAAAGGTCATATTTCTCTGATTTCCAATAGTCTGATTTTGATGCATTTAATTGCTCTGCTTTTCACTCTTTAACTCCCATAAGTGATCATAAGGGAATTTCACCTTACAACCAGATAAGTGCTGAGAATAAATTTGGGGATAATTAGATGATCCAATACTAATCTCTCTGAACTAACATTATGAGAATTGTATGGTTGACATTAAGGAGAATGACAAATTTGATCTGGGAGTTAAAGGGTTAAGCCTTGAAATGTCTTACACCAAACCCAAATGATAGAAGCAAAGAATTTAGGGGAGGGGTTGGTGGGTAGAAGTGTGGAGTAAGGTCACTGCTTGATACATATAGCTTTTGCATGATTTTTTTAATAAAAATTATGTGTCTGCATGCCATGGTATCCATTTTGCTCTTACTTCTGTGATGATGACTTAACTTAGGACACCTTATGAAACCTCAAGGTGATTAAGAAAAAGTTACACCTCTGAGCAGAAATCAGTAAGAGTTATTGGTTATCAGTGCCCCAAATTTGTTGTGGCATTAAACAATTGAAGTGAATGAATGAGCAAAGTGGTTTAGCAAGATGACTGGCAAATGAGAGTTTTAACTTCTTCATTGATGAAAAAATGCAACATTTACCAGAGGGTGTGATCTTCCAGTACAATTGCAATGTATGTTAATATTTTGTACAGTAAATCCACCTAAAATGTGTATCAGTAACTTGTAATGACTAATAATAACAACAGAAAACTGTTCATCAAGTAAGTAGATTTGGTTTTCAAATTCATCTCTTGCTACATAGAAATGAGTTTCGTCTGTTGAATCAAAGAGCGCACTCTCAGTTAGTATTAACACACAACATGAACCCATCCATGCCACTTTTGAAGCCTATCAGAATACAGAATTTGCCTCATCTTGCACACCCATGATGCCAGCACTATGGTATTTAGTACCAACAATGGATTGATGTTAAAACTGAATGCTTTCCTTATTTGATATTTTTACATAAAATGTTTACATAGGTGAACCTCAACAATCCAAGATATTAAAAATGGAGAGTGAAGGAATAAACGGTGATAAAAGTGAGTGACTACTGGGGGTTCTGTTGGTACATCTTTGTCTCCTCATTAAATTTCCCTCTATTATTTCACTACCAACCCACTTCTTGTAAACTTTGTAGTTCTCACTTCTGCAATGATGACTTAACTTAGGACACCGATGATCACCTCATAGAGGATGATTACAAACAAGTTAAAATTCTGAGCAGGTTTGAGTGAGACGAAATCAGAGAAAGGTTGTTAATATTCAGTAGATACCCCAATTAGTACCCGCAATCACCTTGTGCCTCCATTTATACAAAACTAACTCTAAGCACTATTCAAACTGCACATGCCATCTTTAGGGACACTCTATTATTTTATATTTTTTCAGTTATGAATGTTTGTGATAAAAGTAGAACCCCGTTAACTCAAACTCCCAATGGAACCAAAAAATGGTTTGAGTTATTGGGGGTTGGAGATGGCTGATAGCAAATGACTGAAAAATGGAGTCACGGGAAATCAGATCTTGTTCAAGTTACCAGGGGGTTTGAGTGAACAATTTTTCATAAGTGGGGTTTTATTGTAGCTAAACTCAAAGTAAAAGCAACTATTTTTATGTCATGCAGATCAATTTAATTGGAAATCTACAATTAAGGTAGTCTTGAGGCAAGCTCCTGATCAAGAATTACCAATCAAAAGATTAAGGAAAAAGGTAAAAATTATGTATTTTTAAACATTGCACAGTTATCAGTAATAATGATGATGATGATGATGATGATGATGATGATGATGATGGTGATAATGATAATAATAATGATGATGATGATAGAAATAATAATAGTAATAATGATAATAGTAATGTGTCTTAAGCTCTTATGGGATGGATGATTCTCTTTTGTAATTATTTCTAACATAGGTAACAATTTGCGAGGAAATGGGGCCATAAGTCTTAAAACAAAATTTTCTCAGTGTCGTACAGTGTTGCAAAGTAACGTTATCGGTACAAGGAACCTTAGCCATTTCAAATCATCAATAATGCAGTCTGGATGAGATAAATGAAATTGTAGTATTTATCCTTAATAATTGTGATTGTTTATTTTACTTGACCTATGCTGTAATATCACAGGGAAATTATGATTTATAGACTGTGTTAATCCTTTTATAATTTTCTTTTTACCACAGGTTTTGGCAGAATTTGAAGCAAGAGGAGCTAATACAAGAAATCTTTCTGATAATGAACTAAGAGCTCTATTTGAGAAAAAGATAACAAAAAATCCTAAATTTAAGGTTCACAAAGACAGAGTGAAACTTGTCAAATAAGGAATTTTCTACTTAACTCTCATTTATTTTTCAGTGAGTCTGGTGTTTTGTGAAAGTTGTTCTTTTTGAAACAATGTAGTTTATATTCATTTAATAAAAAGGAGAACACAAGTGATGGTAGTACTAGTGTGTATCTTCAAATCCTGATGTGATGTGGTAGTCCCCTAGTGTTAAATATGGTGCAAGGAGGATAAAGAATGATAGGAAATAAAATGGCTCAGCTTTTTCCCCAGAAAATTAAAAAAGAGAAAGAATTATTCCTCATTATTCATTTTACTACAAATCTGTTATACTGTCTGCATCTGTTTTCTTCCTCTAGCACCATGACCCATTTAGTCAACACAAAGTTATTGCTAACAAAGCTTGTTGTTGCACATCATATGACTCAAGCTCTCATAGGATAATGTTAACTCCATTCCATTTAGATTTGGAAGTGACATGAAGTGCTGGATTCTGTGTTGCTTTACAGGAGCTTGGAAAGGGAGAATTGGCTTAGGGCCCTTAATATTAGCAAGAAAATCAGATTTCTCACATGAACTTGACACAAACTTTAAAGTTTTTTTTCCCCAAATAAGACCATAAACAAGATTAGTTACTAAATTTAATTTTTGGAGCAGACTTCAACTGTAACTCTTCCTTAAATAAAAATATACACTTACATGTAACCTTAAAATTACACTATTTCCTATCCAAATTCAAAGCTAACTCTGAATTTACATATAAGATTACCAAGAATCTCCAAATTGTATTCTCCTATAAAGTACTCTAACTTCTGAACAAAATACAAGCATCACAAGTGTACTTGCAAATGTCTCCATTTTTCACCCCTTCATGTTTGAAGAGAGTAACTTCGAGATTCAGTTCAAATACTAATTTTTAAAAATTTTTTAAAGCTACTTAGGTACTTGTTATAAGCTTGAAATTTTAAGATGCATTTCACTATGAGTTCATAACTTCTCTTAGTCTAATGTTTTTTTTGTGATATTGATGAGACATAGTTCTGCTTAGGTCCACAACCCTATTCGCTTTTGTGGCACTTAGTTAACCTTCCACAAATAACAAGTAATTTTCCTTAACAATATCAACATACTTTAAGAACAGGAAGCTAGTGAGGGGGAAGAAAAATTTCAACTAGGAGATATAGTTTGATCTCACAAAAACTTCTTAAGGCTGAGATAAGATTATAGCAAACAGTGTGGAGAGTTGAAATTTAGATCTTGGGAGTGATAGGTTGAGAAAAAAGCTATGTGCCATGGTTTGTGTCCATCTAGATCATTTTCAACAAACTGTGTTCCTCTTGTCTTTACCTTTCATAAATAATGATTTCTTGAAAGCACTAGAAAACAATGATTTCAGTGTTCTATCCTTTTAAGAAAAAGAACATTATGTTACTTTCATGCATTATTATCAAATTAAAAAAAAGAGAGATCTGTATACTTTGGTCTAAAATAATGTTCCTATGTATGTACAATGTAATTGTAGATTGCTTCTTAAACAATAATCACTGTTAACTATTCAACAAACAGGGAGACTGAAAAACTAGTACGCCCAAAGTTCTTTATGACAGGATACAGACTGAATCCTCTTTAAATTGACAAATTGATAGGTTCTGCAGCTCCTCATGTAAAAAAGTTCAACAGGTCACGGAATGGAAAAGGAGCATCAGAATATTTTACTCTTGTTTAGGGACGATTCTAGATATCTGGGGTTAACATCTGTGAACACAAACAGAATGTTGTCTTCATGTTCAGTATTAATCAGTAATTGCAGATAACTCTCCTTTTTTGGAGGTGAACCTTGGTCCACTTTGTCATTCACTAGTCACTTTAAAAAGCTAACTGTATTCCTCTTCTCCTTCATCATCACTCTCATTTCCATTATTACTGGGACCAGCCTCATTGGCCAGGTCCATCCTTGGGCGTGGTGGAATCATTGGCTGTGTGATGTTGAATGTTTTAATAATTTCCTACAGAACAAATCATATAACAGAGTAATGTTACAAGTTAAAAACCCTGATATTGATTCATGACTACAGGAAAGCATGGCACCAATGCAGTTTCAGTTTGCTAACAATTATTCAGACACTAGTGGTAATAGACCATGTAATTCAAGTGCCTGATTTTATTTCAGATATATTGGAAGGTTTTTTTTTGCTCACCACTGAGTGATACTTTCTCTGGAATCTTTTGAAAGAAAATGGAATCTTTTTCTTTTACAAAAAGGTAAACATCAGTTATGTGACTTAATGTCCCATCCAAAATAATAACTTTTGCATGCATAGCATGCCAATGTTTTTATTTGATTCACCTTATACTCTTTCAAAGTGAGATGAACAACAACTTGCTGCTTTCCCATCTGTTCATCTTCACCAGGCATTTCTGAGTATGCTACCAATTCAATGAGAAAATATAAATAAAATAAAACAAACAAAGAAAACAAAACCATTTCTACCAGATTACAGTGTAATTAAATATGACTACCATGTTGCAACAACCCCCCAGTGATTAGATGAGGTTGTGTAAATGTGGAAAAAGTCCTCAGTTCCTTTTGTTCTGGCAACCCAGAAAGCAAGATGTCACAACCTTGTTAGCAGACCCAACCCATAGGGGTGCACATACTATCTGAAATATTTTATAAAAACATTTACATGAACACTTACATACAACTGGTAGTCCATGATCGTCAAGACTTATGTCTGCTCGACCATCCTAGAGGCATGAAAATAGACTTGAAATCAAGTATGTGAGATACAAGACGTGATTAGCAAGGATCATGAAACAGTTACAGATCTATTCATGCTCAAGAAAATTATCTGTAGACTAAGCCATTGCTCATCTGCACTCACTTTGGAGTACTATGCTTTTTAAGCTCTCAGCCAATTAGTATTCATATTCAACTATCTAATTATTACTGCTAAAAAGATCTGTTGGCAGTCACTAGGTAAGAGTCATTGCTAATAACATTTATATTCAAAGTACAACTTACCCTAACTAGAAAAGACAAGTGGAAAAGATTCTCAATTGTTTGCCCGAATGAATTAGGGTTGATGATAAAGTTGAACAGAGACACTGGAGTTAATTCACACTCTTCGCCTTCCTCAGAAACTATGAAACAAGAAATTAAGCAACTGGTTAGTAATGAAATAACAAGGAAACTAGTATTAAGAAGACTGAATATTATTATGAATATTATACTGATACAAGCCAGGTCTTATATTTTCCCATTTAAAAATAGATACTATACAAGCTCCCTGTTTGGTCAAAACCCATCATTTATTGTACTGGTAAACCCCTTGAAAATTGAATTTTAATATATATAAGTAATCAACTGCACTTTCTATCCATTTACCAGGCTAAGGTAAAAACCCTTTAGGGATGTTGGGAGAACATTTGAAAAGTTTGTCCACAAAAACTTTTCCTGTGTTCTACCAACACCTTGCATGTATTATTACAACTATTAACCAATAGAAAGTGCACTCACAACAAAATCAAACACTTGTGAGGAATCTTTTTCAAGCAGAAAGCTTAATAAAAGGTTTGAGTTCCATTTTCAAGTGAAAATATTCTTTTTTTAACTTAAAAATATCACAACTCTTCCACAATAAAGAAGGGTGGTTGAATGAGTTTGATAATTTGCTCTTAATCCTTTAACTCCCATGGGTGACCAACACAGAATTTCTCCTTACAATATCAATACAATATCAACCATGGTTGACCAATACTAAATTCTCTGAACTACATAACAAAAATTGTATGGTTGACAGTAAGGAGAATTACAAATTTGATCTGGGAGTTAAAGGGTTAAGCAACTCATGCAAGTGCTCTCTTTTGCCAGCAGCTGGTAAATGCAGGTTCATTGTAGATGATAAAGAGAGACAAAAATTTGGACTTTTGTTTGTGGCATACAGGTAATGAAAATAAAAAAAATTATCAGCTTAAGAGTGGATTCTTCAAATTACTCCAAGTTCTCTAAATTATTACTAAAGAAACTGTTTAACAGCAAAAGAGGATAATTGCAGAAAGGCTAGACATAATTTTTATATAATTATATACCTGTGTTATCATAAAGGATGCTATGTAGTCTGTCCACTTCTTTAGTTGTTGCTTCCTCTTTGGTTTCTACCTTCTCCAACTGATAGAAAAAGCAAAATGAGATCATTTAAGTCTAAACTGTTAAAAATCAAAATTTTGTACTCCTGTAGAATTATTACTTTTCATTCCTGAAATTTGAACAGTAAAATTAAATGCAAGAATGTAGGCAAAAAAGTATTACACTACCATTCAAATCATCTTGTTTATTTTCTTAAAATGTTTATTATATACTCTCATTTCACAATTTAGAAAACTTGTTTGCTGACTCTTTACTGTCTGCACAAGTTGCTCATGTCATACCTGTGACATGACATGACACAAAGTTCAGATACATTTTTAAACAATAATAAGATAATAATGACAACACAACTTAGCTAGGTACAGAAGGAAGCAAGCAGAGTCATCATTTTCAACTGTGTGTAACTTTAAGTAAAACAAATACATCAATAAAACTGAAAAGTTTTCTAAAAAATAGTTTTACCTGTTTTGGTTTGACTAACTGATTAGCATCAGGTTTTTCAGTTTTTTTCACAGCATTTCTATCTCTCCGCACTTTTACAGGAGGTTCCATGGATAATGGACCAAACCTGAAATGAAACATGATTATCGAAGACCACCATTACATCAATATGCACAAGAAAGTTGTGAATGCATCTTTGACATAACCATAGAATCTTGATAGGATTGCATGAAAACTGATTTCAAAATTATCTCCATTGCCAAGCAACCTTTGAGTTAAAAACCCACTGGAAATAAATTTCTCTCTTGCTGTTATCAAAACACCTAGATTGTTACATACTAGGAAGACACACAAAAAAAACTGAATTCAGTCTTGAGTCACATTATTTCTCTGAAACTCTCTTAAAGTAATCCTATGTGTGCTACATTTTTAATTCATTTAATTAAGTGTTTGAAAATGAGATCAAACACTGAGTCAGTCTCTTGAATTTATAACAGTGTATACCTATCTCAACTGAAAGAGAAGTCAGAATAATTCAGAATCAAATGGTATCATTGCAAGGCTGAACATACATAAAGTCAACATTTGGAGTTCTCCTAAATGCTACACTGGCTTTTCTACCAAGTTTCTTCCAGTCAAGGTGAGGTGGGGGTTGGTGCCTCCCACCAGCCATCTCTTCATCCTCATTATCTCCTCCAGTCATATCGGAAACACTTCTCCCTCCCATAAAAGTTATCTGATAAAAAGGATAAAATTTATAACTTTTTGGCTTTTTTTTTAAAATTTTTTATTTCATGGCAGAGGATGGACTAGTCGCTGTAAAGGTTCTATGAAAACAAGGAATTGAGGACTGAGAGTTGACATAGAAAACCATGAGAAATAAGAAAATGAGATCTCTTTCAAGTTTACAGGCTGATAAGAATAGAGCATAACTGTCTGAAAGCAACCATTACCCACTGCCTGACAAAATAACAACCTTTGAACCAACATAACACCAATGCATTGACTGACAAATCCCCTAAAAAAGTTACTGACAGCGGTACAATGTATGGATGTTTTGAAAGTGATTAACAACTTTCTAGGTTAAAAAGAAAAGATCAAGAAAATAATTCTAAAACAGCAATCAAATAACATTTTCAGGCAAATTTAAGATAATTATTTCCTAGCCGTGGCTGCAGCAGTAAGTTAGAATGGAACTAAGGAGGATTTGGGTGTGAAGATGAACAAGACAAAGTCAAACACAGAGTTTGATTATTTCCCAGTGTATTACTAACAACATTCAACAAAGGGCATCAGACATGGTTTGATGCTACTCTGATTTACAGATTTAATGAATGTAACTGAAGAAGTTATAATTCATAGACCCAATGTTTCAACGCTCCTGTCTAGTGCCTTCATCAGGGGTGATCTAAACACTGCAACAAGAGGTCCTTTTATATGATCACTAATTGGCTGCCTTTTTTTCTAACGAGGTGTAAATAGGCATCAGGAAGTAAGCCACCATCATCACGATCTAAAGGAGCGTGGGTGGAGTTAATATGCCAAGCTTCCAAACAAAGGCACTGGTGGTAATGCCGATTAGTGGTGAGAATTCTTAGACTTGTCCCACCCAATTTTATGGTTCATTAGGCATGTGTGCTCTGATAAAGCTGAATTTATATTGTCGAAATGTTGGGTCTATGAACTTCTTTGGTTACATTCATTAAATCTGTAAACCAGAGTAACATCAAACCCAAGTCTGATTGTCCACCTGGTTACCATGTGAACTTTAATATATTTTAAAGAGGGGATGTTTATTTTCAAATGGGAAAAAGTTACATAAAAGACATGAACAACAATGATTCTTCCAACCCAATGTGGAAATGAACTTTGATTTATTTATAACTTACCAATTTCTCAACAAAAACATCTGCATCAAATGTTACCAAGTGTGTTTGCAGCTGCTGAGCCTGTTGACTTCCAAGGTTTGATGCTAGGACTAGAAAATGTGCGTCCAGAACAGCCTCTCTGGTATGGGTGGCTGAGGAAAATTCCCAACAACTGATTAATAATCATTTGAAGACCAAATTCTTTTAGAATAAAAGCTCACTTAGAGGAGACCCAGATCAACAAAGGAGACATATTCATTTCCTGCTCTGTGTTCCAAAATGGGATGATGCAAAAAATGAAAAATTAGTTGTATTGCTCTGCTATTTCTGATTTAATTGATAAAAGCTAAATTTTCTTTTCACATATTATCACCCAAGTTTCCAGATCTCAGTTCCTTATTGAAATACTTATCTATCACTTTCACTTTGTAACAGCCATAGATAAAGCCTCTTGTTGATATTTACAGGATCTTTTTTCACTTTGCCCAGTTTTGTTTCATGCTAAGCCATATTATAGGAGATGTGCCTGGAAGCAGAGAGAAGGTAACTCTGCCTCACCCCTACTCACATTCTCCCTGAACTAACCCCCCCACTATATCCTGACATAAAATCCCACAAAGGTTTGTCTAACATATTAAAAAGATCTTACCGTTCTTAAATAACCCTTCAGCTTTATCAAGTGCTTCATGTAAGCCAGTTGATTCTGGTTTGATAAAATTATGTCTATTTTCTGTTGATTAAAGAAGGTAAAAGGCCTCATTCAAAATAAACTCAACCCTTAACATCCTAACATAAACATGCATATTCTCCTTACTATTATCTAAACATTTCCTATGGTATCATCATCTGACAATCAAAAGCTTCTTTCAGCCGTGATCTTTTCCTGTATTCTCATTTCCTTAATGTTTGATTCAGGGGTGATACGGTTGGGAGAAATTTGATGCTAGTCGTTCTTGGGGGATGTTTAAGAAAACGTTCAGACGATTCGTGCATGTTGACGATCGTCCCAAATCATTCTTTGCAAAAAAGGAAAACAGTCTATAATATCCCAGTTTTCGTTGACACGTGTAAAGTTATGCGCATAAAAACAGGAGGACGGCACTGTGCTTACTTTGAGTCTCGGCGATCAGTTCACGATATTCGTGACGGATTCGCCTTCTTTCCCGGGGATCGTCCTTGGGATCTCCATTTGGATCGTAGTCATCCGAGGGGCCGTCTTCACCCATATCAGCTGGACGAAAGCACTTTCAAGGATTTTAGAAAAAATATATATAAATATCTTACGCCAAATCTGGCGAAAACTACCGAACTGAGGAAAAAATCTACCACCACATGATAGGTGAGCTGTTTTTAGCTGATTTCGCGCGCTTTCCTGCGCAGCTCTTATGCAAGCTACGCGCATATATCTTTCAAAAGCCTGCTGGCAATTTTTCGCGGACTCGTTTATCGCCATTTTGTTTGAAGAACAGAGATCTAGTATACGCAACGTGGACAAACATTTAACCAGTATCCAGAATGGGAATCCTAGAGAAAATAAGCGAGATAGAGAAGGAGATCGCAAGAACTCAAAAGAATAAGGCAACAGAGTATCATCTGGGATTACTGAAGGCGAAATTGGCAAAATACCGATCGCAACTATTAGAACCTTCGAAATCCGCGGGAGGAGGTAAGGGTGAGGGCTTCGATGTCATGAAATCCGGCGATGCCAGAGTCGCCTTGATCGGTTTTCCTTCGGTAGGAAAATCGACATTGTTAAACAAGTTAACATCCACAACCAGCGTTAGTGCTTCTTACGAGTTCACAACTCTGACATGTATTCCTGGTGTGATAGAATACAATGGGGCTAACATTCAACTGCTCGACTTACCTGGAATTATAGAGGGTGCCTCTCAGGGTAAGGGAAGGGGGAAACAAGTTATTGCTGTTGCTCGGACTGCAGACATGGTCGTGATGATGTTAGATGCTGCTAAGGGGGAGATCCAGAAGGTTTTACTGGAAAAGGAATTGGAGGACTGTGGCATTCGGCTTAACTGTTCCAAGCCAAATCTTTACTTCAAACAAAAGAAAGGAGGTGGTATTTCTTTTAACTCCACATGTTCTCTCACCCATCTGGATGAGAAGCTTGTAATGATGATTCTCCATGAATACAAGATCTTCAATGCAGAAGTGCTTATACGAGAAGATTGCACAGCAGATCAGCTGATTGATGTCATTTGCGCTAACCGAATCTACCTGCCATGTGTTTATGTTTACAACAAGATTGACTGTATTTCTATAGAAGAAGTTGATCGGTTGGCACGCCTTCCACATTCTGTTGTTGTTAGCTGTGAGATGGAGCTAAACTTGGATTACCTATTGACCCAGGTTTGGGAACATCTTGCACTGCTCAGAATCTACACTAAGAAGAGAGGTGATCCACCTGACTTTAATGGAGGACTGATCCTTCGGCGTGGAGCTACTGTGGAACATGTGTGCCATGCTGTTCACAGAACACTAGTAGATACGTTTAAATATGCTTTAGTATGGGGTACTAGCACCAAATATAGCCCACAGCGTGTAGGAATCAATCATACTATGAATGATGAAGATATCATTCAGATTATGAAAAAGTGAATGTAATTTCACACTGGCAATTCAATTACCTCACTAATTTTTCAGTCACACTCAGAAGGAGAGGTGTTTGGTTTTTCTGTGTTTGTTCAAATTACATATGTCCAAAAGGATGAAGAGATTTTCTCATTTTCCTTTGTTGTCCTGGTTTTAGCAAGGAAGCAGAATCCTCACTTAAATTCAGTGGACTTCTCACATTGCTCTGTAACAAATAAAAAAGCAGATGAAGAGGATGGATGATTTAAAACCTTTTAAATGAATGTACGCTATATTTTTTGTGGATATTTGTCTACCTGAGTTAACTGATGGTATCAAGAGTAGTCATTCCTTTTGCCTTGATCTCTCACCAAGTAGGGAAGTTCATATAGAGCACTCATAGAACACTCTTCTACCGAAAACAATCAAAACTAAATTACTCTCAGCAATCAATCAGAACAAAAGAGAAACTTCTTATGAAAAATAGCAAAGTTATTGTAAATGTTATTGAGAATTCAAAGTAGATACAAGTAGATGGTTGTAAGCAATTGAAATGCAGGTGACCAAATAATTTTTTTTTTTTTACATTCTATTGGCTGAGATGGTGATGCAGATTTTTTTCATCAAGCTCAGTGTGGAAACAGAAAAGCCAATGCAGTCCTGACTAACCTATGTCAATTCACTAAAATCTCACTAAGGGAAGGCAAGAAAATCTTGTTTTCTCTCAGATAATCACCACCCAAGTTTTTCATTTTCTATTTCCTACTTTTGCATGTGGGTGGAGACCTATGCAGTTAGGTACATTTAAAAAATAAATATGGCCATAAAACTATCATGATAGTAAATAAACATATTAACCAAATCTGCCATTTGGGCTTGTGTATTTATTATTGAGGTTTCATCTTAGAGTCCATAATTTGCACCCAGGCTCAGTGAAAACCACAATACAGTAAAGTGTGCAAGAAGATCAGGAAACTTCTTTCAGTTATGGTAGGAAATCTTGTTCCTATTGGATCCAAATGTAGCCTGCACATAGGCAACTTCCTCTTAGTATGGAGGATCTTGGTATGTATCTACCACAGAGAATATAAGTGGATCATGGGTCAAAATGGTGGGAACAGGGTAAGTGATGTTACTCTACTGGTGGGTGAGACAAAGTTGAGGTATTACTACTTCCCTCCTCTTGATGGGATGTGAGTCCTCTATAAAGCTACCCCCCCATTACTAAATTGCTAAAAAAAAGATTACAGCAAAAATTTAACACATTCGAGAAAAATCCCACTGTAAATTGGATAGGGCCATCTTTTCCAAGCAAGTAAGACTATCGTACCAGGATGGGAAGAAGAGGTCTACCTTTCAGGGACTTGCTATGCGTTCACTTTTCTTTAAAAAAAAGGTACATGTTTCTGAAAACATTTTCTTTCTTGTGGTTAGGTCTTTTTAGCCTCTGCTAATTCACTGGTAAGCACTTCAATATTTCCGAGCCAACTCAGTAATTTGACTAATTTGACCTTTTTATAAATTTTATATATACTAATTTGAACTTTTTAGCCTCTGCTAATTCACTGGTAAGCACTTCAATATTTCCGAGCCAACTCAGTAATTTGACTAATTTGACCAGCATAAACTGAGAAATTATTCTCCTACGACGTCGACCAAGAGTCGTTTAGTGAAAGGGGACTGGGTACGAATGAGCGCGAGATTTGTTTTGGGCTAATATTAAAGATGGCGGCGAATTCGAAGCGATCTTTGTACAATCCAGCGCCTTCGCAAACGCCTCCACCGCAGATAAGGTACTGAATGTCTTAACTAATTCCTATATTTTGTCTTAAGTTTGTGATTTCTTTATTTTAACGCGTGGAAATTGCGTGTTTGTTGTGATTTTTTTTCCACAGGAAATCGCTCGCCCAAGGTTTTCTTAATACAGAGCCTGTCACTGGTTTTCCATCAAGTGCATCGAGATCTACTATACCTTTTTCGACGTAAGGTTATGTTATTTAATAGATTGGTTTCAATATTCAGGAAGTTTCAATCTCTTTCTTTTGTATGAGAACTCTTCTTGATGTAAAGGAAACTATTAAGCTCTTCTTAACTATATCGTTGTCGCTGCAGATCATATTTAAAATCGCTGTCTTTGAGTGATCAAAACCCTTAAACTCCCTACATATTTGTGTTCATTTCCCCCTCTAGCTTCTGCGTATTTATTGTATGCAATTTGAAAGAGTTATCTGTGTTGTTTTACTAGGATAACACTATTTTTCAGTGGACGAGTTCGTTTGTTTTTGTAGTTTTGGCTAATAAAGTGAAATTGTGAGAATTGACATGCATGCTGATCTCCTCTGGGAGTTTAAGGGTTAAATACTGTACAAAAATCCAAGGCTCTCACTTAAATAGGACGAAAGCCTAAGCTTAAGGTATTTTAGAAGTTTAGGAAAGCCTATTCAGGAATATAATAAAAACTTATTTCACTTATATCAAAGTACTGAGCAAATCACTTCAATTTCATGTTTACTTTTCCATCCCTGATCTAAACACAAGCTTGAGTATATACATTAGATTTCAAATAACAATGACCTTACAATAACATTCCACTGAGGGGCAAAAGGAGGGAGGTTCTTCAAAGGAGACATTTTAGGGGGTGCATCACTCTTTGTCTTGAGTTCTCTTTGTTTTGAAGAAAGACTCCCTAAGGTTTAAGGTCAGATTGTAGGGAGGCTGTATGAAAATGGCTGTTTGACAATTTTAAATAATTTTTTTGCATTCTCAACTTTTTGTTGTGATTAAATCCCAGGCATGTCCCTGACCCAACATATGTTGAAGAGAGAGAATCAAAACAAACCTCACCTGTTCTTTTGGTGGATGCAAGTGGACAGCATAAGAGCCCTGATCTTGCTGAAGTACCAGTTGTTACAGGAATTGTTAAGTCTCCAGTGAGAGTTGTGTGCCATTCTCCTCGACATTTAGGAAGAGACAGAAGCATGTTAGAAAACTCAGTTATTATTCAAAGATCAGACAACTTAACTGATGTTACTGGCAGTTTAGAAGAAGGAAGGAAAGTTAAAGTAGCTGGTATACCAAAAGTTAATCTTCTTGAATCCAGTGCAAGAAAGAAAGATTTACCTCACAGTAGTCCAGGTAAAGTTTCGGTTAATGTTACTCAAACCTCAGTTATGTTGTCTTCTTATTAGCCACAGAGTAAAATTCTTCAAAGCTTTTCAACTCTTGGAACAATAAACTGCATGAAAGGTTCTCTAAAGGCTTGTTTTCACTGGCAATGGATTTGAACTCAGAGTTTTAGTTGGAGTGGTAAAAGCACTTATGACCCAGTGAAAATGGAAAAAAAATCATTCACAAGCTCAATGGAATTGGCCTTGAAAGAACACTGGAATTGTTTATTTTATTCCGATTGTGCCCAGTAATGACTCTAACTGTTATGATCCATTGAAAACCAGATTTTAGAGGTACAAGCAGAATTGGAAAAACTTACTAATCACATTGAGAATTCTAAGACCATCTGATGGCTTATGACTCTGACAACTCTGACAGATCAGTTTTCACTGGATCTTAAGGAACTGAATCGTAAGGGGCATCAGTATTTTTTATGGTACTCTCTGCACTTCTTATTATTCCAACTCTGCTCTAAGTGAATACCAGTCTAATGGAATAGTGATCACTGTACCACTTTTAACATCATCACCCTGTACCATTTAGTAGATGATTTCCACACTTGTATTATTTATGCAGAGGGACAAGACTGTCTAAATCACATCTAAGCTGTAGCAACTATATGTATGCTTTTTTTTTGGGTATTTTTTAAAATAAAGTCCATAGTGAGGCTTATAATGCTGATAATTATAACAAACAAGCAGAAGGATGATCCTGGTGATTTGGATTGTTTAAAAATTAGATCACATTTTGATGTGGTTTATTTAAAATATCTTAGTAAATTCATGTCTCAAGAAGGAAGAGGTCTGAGGTTTTATGATGTCCATAGTGCTCCTGACACTTTTGTCAGTTTTATCTTTAAGGAAAGACAAGTGGCCAATGAACAAGCTTGCAATGAGTCTCCCTACCCAGCTTAAAATTTTGTATTTTTCCTACTTTTGGAATAAATCTTAATCATTAATTTAAGAGAATATTTTCAATGAATATTCTTCCAGATAATATCAGTGGTTGTCTTTTTGGTGAATTTAAGTCCAAAGTGTCACATGAAACTCAGTCATCATGATCGTTAAAACTATTGGAAGGAGTATTGATTCGTAAAATATTCAATTGTAAACTATCTATTTCAACTACTATGTGATGTATGATGATATTGTTAGTTACAAAAATGAATTTTTTTTTTTGTTCAATACCCAAGTACATAGAAGATCCCATGAAGAAACCTTGTTGGACCATGAGAGAGAAGCTGTTGAACCTAGATTGGAACAACAACAGATTGGTAGACCTGGAGAGGAGTTTAAAAGTTTTTTAGGGGAGGATGGTTTGTATGCTGCACCTCCATCATCTCACTTATCTACACCTCAGATAAAGCAACAACTTTTTGATTTCTCATCAGGTAAAGAAACTTGTTCTGACTTACTTTAAAAGATAGTGATGATTTCTCTGATTTACCCTTTCTCCACATCTCCCTAAAGCACTTGAAAATTTGAAAGTTGAATCACTGTGAAACTTTCTATAAGAACAAGTAGATTGAATATAGAACGTACATCCTTTTGTAAATGAACACCAGCTAGTCCCCCTTTTTGTTCCCCAAACTAAGGGAAAGCTGTACCCACATTCACCCCACACCCCTTTTAAGAAGATAAGGACACTTCAAAAGGAGCAGTTCTATCCCACAAGCATCTGCTTGATGAAGGTCTAAACAATATTCTGTACTCAAGCTGACTTAATTGTAACATTGCATAATGGTGCATTGTAAAAAATGAGAAAACATGTGGTTATGATTGTGTACCACACTCCTCAGTTTCAGATTCCTATTTCCAAGCACCAGATGGTGACCAGTCTGTGTAAGTAAAAATTGTTACAGTTTAATGGCTGGATTCATGACTAATCTTAGGTTATAAATGTTGGGCAAAGATGAGAAATGTTACATGTAAACACATGTAAATTCCTCAGTTTCAGCTTAGGATTTAAAAGCTTTTTTTATGTGTTCTGCCAACATGTCAGGTGGTATATTATGCCAGTGAGTTGTTAGGGAGTGTATTAATTGGTGCAGTAAATTGATAGAATTTTGACCAATAAATGCCTGAAATACAAATGATGCTTTAAAACATAAGATGTCATTTATATTTATGGTGATTTAATGGTGTGCTTTAACAGGATAATGTTTGTTGATCCAAAATGACATTTGAATAGTGCAATTTTGAATAATAAAATTATTGACATCTTTTCTACTTTTATTGTAGTTTACCTGCAGGAGAAAAACAGAATTTGAAAACAAAGAAAAAGAAACAAAAAACTGGTAATTTATGTTGGCACATGTATGAAACTACACTCTGTTGTCTAATTTAACCCTTTGACCCCTAACTTTGACCTACATCTAATAACTCTTTAAAGTATCACCCTCTAAATCACCCACTAAGGTTATAACAATGAAGGAAATGACCACCAACTAAAGAAAACTGTTGACTGATAAACAAATTCTCCTTGTTATTACTTCAAGTTTTAGCATGAGTAGCTGGTTTTGAACTGATATTTTCTAAAAATGCCCCAATATTAACTCCTTCTCCTTACAGAAATACTATTATTTTGCTAAATTGGATAGCTAGCATTAATATTGCAGTACAAACATTATTGTTTACCAGTCTTGTATTTGAAAGACTTTCGTCAGGATAATTGTAGGTTTTCAACCAAGGAAGTACTTTACTGTGTATTTTTTTCACTAGATACTGATAACAATTCAGAAGATAATTGAAATATTTTAGTATTTCAATATGGTTTCCATTAGATATTGGTAACAATTCAGAAGATGATCGAAGTATTACAGTGAGCTATCCACTATTCTAATTAGCCCCCTGTCTGAAAGAGCTGGGAATTAATGAGCTCCCTGGGGCATATTATAGTAGCATACAACAAATGGTTTCACATTTGCTTTCTTTTAGCTCGCATTGTCCCTTCCAGATACATGGCTGCTGGAACAAAAGTCACTAAAAAGGTAGCAGTGAAGGTAAAAAGTTTACTCTAAGCTGTGTGCATCTTGAACCTGGACAATTGCTTCTTGCTGGCCAATTTTAACTTGAAAATACACTTAAGGGTGTTTTTTTATTGATTGTTGTAAAACAAAAACTAAATTTATCACAACTTATCAGAGGAAAGGATATTATCCCTGAGGACCAATGAAAAGTAAACTAAAACCAAACAAACAGCCCAAAGTGCAGGAAACACATGTGACTAAGTAGTGATTGGTTTTAATTTTGTATCTGATTGTTTTAGAGAGGGCCACAAGTTTTTTTGACCAATTATAGGGTAAAGTAAAGCAAAACCTTGGTAATATTGGATTTCTTTTGACTTTCGATTTGAAAAAATGGCACTAAAAGTAATTTTTACCTCTTTTCAGTAATGTTATGTGGCAGATTTCAGTCTGGTGGCTCAGTGATTAATGTTGTGGATCACTCTCCTGTTACTAAATTTCTAAATGAAAACCCTGTTATCTGTAAAATTTTATTGTTTATCTTTTTTTGATCTTTTGGGAAGTTACTCATGATAAATATTATGTTTCTTACTTTATGTTATATGCTGACAGGAGGCACCTCCACCCACAAAGAAAAAAGTCAGAGTGCCCTCTGCAACATCATCAAAATCAAGAGACCAGTCAGTTCTTACTCACTCCAACAACAGCACACTTGGCCTTGATGTCATCACACCCTTCATCAGACACACGTCCAATCAAAAAGGCATAGTCACATCAACTCCAGCTGATGCCATGGCAGGGGTTGACCCTGCTGTTCATGTGGGAGCACCCACCCCCATTTTACCCCAGGGTGTAGCAACATTTGCAAAACAACATGGGGGGAGTGGAGGTACTTATGCTGTCAAGAAGACTTCAGTTTCTCGTGACAAGCAAAAGCAGCAACCTATTGTAGTCAAGAAAGCTGGGGTTAAGATGGCAGGTAAAGAAAAAATAAAAGTTATCTGCAGGTACAAAATGTTCTCTTAAAGGTCAAGGCACATTGTTAACTTAAGAGGAACTTACCTTCAAATAACAAATTAGCCTTGTTGAGTTGCCTTATTTAATTATTGTCCAAAGCAGTTGCTTTGTCTATCCAAATATTTTCTGTTTTGGTATCCAAAGAGAACCAGGTTGTCATTTTGTTTCAATTCAGCTGCTTGGAAGAATATTACATTATATTACATTGCCAATCCTGGGTTGGCCAATTAAATTATGCTAAAAGAAATATTCACCTATGGTAGTGGGTGAAGGAGGACTAGTTTATCAGGGTGCCCACTATTCTGAGAAAGTATTTATAAAATAATAACAGTACAGTTACTATAAATAGTTCTCATCTAAAATGAAATTTCCCCTCTAATCTGTCGGCAGGTTCATATCAACCCTCTTCGCAAACGAGCAAGCCTTCTGTTCCAACCGAGGTGCGTCAGTATTGATCTGAATTTTAATATTTTTCCTCAATTTTTAATATTGGGTCCTCTGTCGTCATCACTATCGCCTCAGCGGATAGGGCTTCATTCAAACTCTCTCACTCACTTTTCCTGATTGGCACCAACTTTCCTAGATTCCCTCTTACTATTCCATTCTTGTTCCTTACCCTTCACTTCCTCCGCCATTGTGCGCCCTGTTATTTTGCGGCTGCCATCATTTCTCTCACTTACTAAGTGGCAGCCAGTTAAATCACAATGCCCGCCTGGGGTTTTTATTCTGTTGGATCGTGCAGGAACATGAATGGAATTGTGCTGTGATTTAAAAATTCCGAACAAATTTTCAAACTTCGTTTGCAGACCGGACCTGTAGGAACTTCAGCAGGTGAAGGTGACATCTCACAACGTCAGCTTGAACTTCAGTATTCAAGAGTTGTACAAGCCTCTTTTCTGTACTCGAGGGTAAGATTATGAAGTAGCTGTTATTAATGTCCGTGCTTGTGTTTCGTTTCCAAGATTTTTTTTTCTCAGTTACATGCAGTTTTCAGTGACCCGCGCACTTATGTAATCCGAAAGTTTTTGCGTCAGAGAATCGCACATACTAACGCCTATTGATTGTCCCATTAGTGAATCACACACATTGTTTTTGTTTGATTGTTACTTTTCCGACTCGCACACTCTGTTTTGTAATTTATACTGTATTTCCGGAGGTGATTTGTGTACCCCGTTTTGTGCTTGATTGTTACGTTAGGGACTTGCACACTCTGTTTCGTGTTAAATCGTTTGGTTGGTGACCCACCCGATCTGTCCTATGGTTGCTTCTCTCTTTAGTGACTCGTGCATTCTTTTTCTTTGTTTGATTGTTACGTTAATAACTCGCACACTTTGATTGTCACGTAAGTGACTCGTGCACTCTTTTTCGTGTTTGATTGTTATGAAGTTAGTGAATCGTGCAGTCTGTTTTTCGTTTTCTTCTTTCTTCAGTACATAATGTTTTTTGGGACTCGCGCATTCTGTTTGTGTTTGTTTATTACGTTCATGACTCGCACATTTTGTTTTCTGTTTGATTGTTACGTTAAAAACTCGCGCATTCTGTTTTTTCTTGGATTGTTCCGTAAGACTCGCTCACCGTGTTATATATTTGATTGTTTCGTTAGTGATTAGCGCATTTTGTTGAGCGGTTGAGTGTTGGGTCAGTGACTCGCGCACTCTGTTTTTTTTTTTTTATTGTTAGGTTAGTAATTTATGCACTCTGTTTTTTTGTTTAATTGTTAGGTTAGCGACTCGTGTACTCTGTTTTGTAATTGATGGTTACGTTAGTGACTTGCACACTCTGTTTTGTGTTTGACTGTTAGGTTAGTGACTCCTGCACTCTGTTTTGTGTTTGATTGTTACGTTAGTGACTCGCGCACTGTGTTTTGTGTTTGATTGTTACGTTAGTGACTCGCGCACTCTGTTTTGTGTTTGATTGTTACGTTAGTGACTTGCGCACTCTGTTTTGTGTTTGATTGTTACGTTAGTGACTCGCGCACTCTGTTTTGTGTTTGATTGTTACGTAAGTGACTCGCGCACTCTGTTTTGTGTTTGATTGTTACGTAAGTGACTCGCGCACTCTGTTTTGTGTTTGATTGTTACGTTAGTGACTCGTGCACTCTGTTTTGTGTTTGATTGTTACGTTAGTGACTCGCGCACTCAGTTTTGTTTTTTATCGTTACGTTACTGACTCGCACACTCTGTGGTTTTCGATTGTTAGGTAAGTAAATTGCGTATTCTTTCTGTGTTTGATTGTCACGTTAGTGACACGCACACTCCGGTTTCTGTTTGTTTTTATTATTAGTGTCTCGCACACTCTGTTTTGTGTTTGATTGTGAAATCAGTGACTCGCACCACCTGTTTTATGGTTGATTCTTTCTCCAGAATGTTACTCGTCGTGGCCGAGTACTATGTCGGGTTATGGGTTGATTTGTCCAGAAATCGGTTCTTCCTTTACTTTCTTGGTAGAGTTTTCTCGTTACATCTCACCAGGCGCTGTAAAAAGGGAAGGTTTCTTTCTCCTTTATATAACTTCTCTTGCAAACGTTTAGTAATCGTTGTTTCCGTTTAGGTAAGCGTGGAATGGTTCAAATCTCAGCCTTTTTGAACGGCAGTGCTTGTTCTCTCTGTTTTGTTTTGTTTTTTAACTCTCTGTTCGATTTATAAGTGTGCACTAAATATAATAAGTTTGCCATGTTTTAGTTGTGTCGGTGATATCTTTTCGTCGTTGATTCTTGGTTGAAATTGTTGGTTTTCTTGCAGCTGAAACATTCCTTTGGACAAAAAGAAAAAGATGCACAGGTATTATCAGCTTGGTGTCTATTCTTGATTGGTGAAAGAGTTATGCAAAAATGATATTTGATTCGATAACAGTCGCTTTAGTTTTCCAGGAAGAAAGAGACGAGTCTATTCTCATAGTAGGTATTAATGAATTTCAACATTCTGTTTATTTAGAGTCAAATTTACCATGTGTGGCAGGAAAAAGAGAAACTTCAACGCGAGATAGCTAATCTAGAGTTACAGCTGAAAATGAAAACGAAAATTGCCGAACTTGATGAACAAATTAAGCTTCAGGTAAGTCTCTAAGTTGGTCACAGTACTTCTTGCCAGTTGAAACGCGAGAGGTAAAAAATTCCGCAGGAATCCTTGCTTGCTAGGTGCAAAGTTGCTTCCCTGTTTTATTTGCCAAGAGCTTTTACTGATGAAACCCTGGAGATATATTTTGCGGGAAGGCAAACAAATACCGAGATATCTGATCCATCCTGAGTCGTCTTCAAAGCGGGGATAACTGACACTGTTAGGTGGGAGCACAGTTAATGATTCGCGAAATGATTTGGTTAATGATTCACAGATGTCAGGACTTGAGCCCATTGGGTCCAACATGGTGAGGCTAATACTAGACTTCAGTAAGTTGGCCGCTGCTCTGGATACTACCCGGCATCACATGTCAGTCAACGGAGTGCTTCTTCCCGATAATCACGGTAAGACTCACATCCGTAAATAGAAATAAGATTTTATATTTGATAACATACACCAGGCGACAGGAGCCCATGGGCTCCTGCCAGGCGACAAGTAACTGCTTGAGTTTCCTGCGTCCGGCAAACCGCGTCAAGTCTATTCCTCCAAAACAAGGCGCTGCAACAGGCCTCTTTTGCTTGATATTCAGTTGTGGTTCAAGAAATGAACCCCTTTTCCTCCCCAAGAAGTGTCTTCTCGATGAGGGCGGGGAGAGGGAGAAGGTGTCACCCCCGGGCCAGCAGATCGCGCTGTATACAATTTCTGTCATTATGGATTCAACTACACCTCTTGAAAATTGAACAGGAAGGATCTCATACAATGTGACTTGACTTACTACTTTGATACAGCATTGGAGGGTTTTCGTGATTTAATAGTAAGCGTTGAGACTGTAGTACCATGGAACACTGACAACGCGAACGAAAAAAACTGACCCTTACCCAAGAAGAACGCCTCTGACTAAGACGCGATGGTGTCCTCGCTTTTATTTTTGAACTGGCGCCTGTTTTAACCTAAGTCCACTGAATTTTTTTCTGCGCTTTTATTATCTAACTTCCTTCTTTATTTTCCTTCTCTCCAGATCAGCTATTAACTGTTCTTGACGAAAGCGAAAGATTACTCGGCGAAATTGACTCACTTTCCAAAGACAAACAACAAAAGGTAAGCCCTGGATAATGTTTAGTAGACTTCCTGTGAAACTACCTGTGACCAAGTGTCGTAAAACCGAAACCAAAGTAATCATGACAGGTAAATAGAACAAGTGAGAAGTTACCAGGAGCCAACTGATGAGAACTTAAAGTAAATTTAGCAATCTACATGAAGCGTGGGAAAACGCGAGAGACAAAGTCGCGCTTGGTTTTTAGTTTTGCGTCTGATTGGTTGAGAGGGTGGCAAGAGTTTTCTAGACCAATCACAGAGCATAAATAGATAATTCTAGGATAACTTTAAACACACCAGTATGACTTACTTTCTGAAAAAGCTTTTGATCTTTTTCCATCACTGCCATCGTGGCAAAGGGGAAACCCGTGAAAATCTAATATCTAAGTTCTGTTAGATCCATCTCGAACTCTTAACTCTCAGCATCTAATTCTAATTCTTTCTCGTAGCTACAGTTCTTTTTTATTTTAAATCTGTTAATGTTACACAAACTTGACGTCCTACAGTGTTATTTTTGTATGTAGTTTCTAAAAACATTTATTTTATTCCGTTAGAAAGCATTTAATGGTTATTTATTAGCTTAAAAAATATCCCCCTTTTCTTTCGGCTTGAAAACAGATTGAATTGTTTGCCAAAGAGATGGAGGGGTTGTCCAAAACTGTAGACTCCGAAATTCAAGAACAAGACAGGTAATATATTTATTTTTCTTATAGAGGATGGACTTACTACTTAGGTTCATTAACAGATAGGATATCTTTTATCTAATCAATTCGGTACGTGCACGGGTCATAAGGAAATTAAATTAAAGCGTTTGCCTTTTTCCTCGGATTGGTCTCTAAGATATCACGCAGGGAAATACTGATTTTGCCCTTCGGTAATATGACAATCAGTAAGTTTGTTATGTACAACTCAGCCTATGTACATTTCCTGGTAAAGGCCAAGGCTGAGAAACAGTTCATAATCTCTTGAAGCCCATTTTCTTTTGCTTCCAACATTGTAACTAGTTTTTTCTAGAACCGGGCAGTGAAATTTGTTCAAAAGAGTGGAAGATTGCAATTTTCTCCTCGTGCTTCGACAAATGGGGAACATTTTGCAGAAACGAAAGTAATTAGGCGTATAGGAAATATAATTTTATTATTCACTTTGTTTATCAATTATATTATTTTAATTTTTTTTCAACATTTTTCTGCAAGGTGTGGTGAATTGCTGGCTGCTGCATCAACGCTCAGCACTCAAGAGCGTAGTCTTCAAGCGCAATCCATCATGGCTGGGTTATAGACATGTTCATTTGGTTTCGTCTCCTTCTGGGTATCGAGCGTTTTGGAGATGACAAGTTAAACAGCTTGCCAAGCCAAGTAAACAAAGACTGAAGTGGTTGACACAATAATAAAGTAATGGAATCTAATGAACAGAATATGGCCTCTCTCTTAATCTGCTTCATGACTGTAACATTTCTCAAGAGTAGAGAGAGAGAGAAGATTGAGAATTCTTCTAAGTTCAAACTCTGATTCCTAGTTGAGGACATTCGTGGTTACCATAGCTCGCTATACAAATCCACGCTAAAATTTCGTTGTCAGGAGAGAATATTTCGCTGAGAAAAAACGCGTTTTCACGTGTTGTACACCTGTGTACACCTGTTGTTTTTATTGATAACGCCTTTCCGGCACAAAGCTGTCTACGAGGGATCTTGCCTTGTACTTGCTGTATTTCGAAAGAACTCTGAATCTCTCTAAAGAAACAGTTTAGACAATTGATTATTTTGCAAACTGTCTAGCATGCAGATATAAACATATCATCTTAAATACTGTTCGTCGTAGTCGTAGTTTGGAAGACCTTCAAGCAATCGTCATAATTGTTTTCATCGAGGATTTCCGCAGCAGCTAGAAAAGAGAGTTATTTGTGGAAGCCTTGCTCCTCTATTACTTGTTCTTGTCAGTATGACTCTGGTTTTTGACAGATCTATCATATTTGTAATAAATACTGATAATTCAAACATATTTGTATTATTTTCCTAGTCTTTTTTATTTAGTGCAGTCTCAATATCTTGAACTGAGGGTGCATCTCTGGGAGTGACCTTGTGTAGCAGTACCACTGTAATGTAACCCTAGAGCTGATCTTGCACTCAGAATATTTGGACTCGGGCCGGAACCTGGAGTGTAGACTTGTATCAGTGTAACACTATAATTTTTATCCGGGATATATCTGAATAAGGCCTTGTCGCTGGGTGAAGAATTTTGTGTGTCTCGGAATATGTTTAAACGGGTTTATCAGAGTTGTGTAAACCTCTATTCAAGCAGATAGGAAATTTTTCTGTCTTGGTATTGCCTCATCTAAAGAGGAGATGGGGTTGGGAGAAGTCCTGAAGTTCAGCAAACCCGAGAAATTGTCGAGGGTTAATATTAGTTGTGCGAATTCTTCCAGCCTACCAGATGCTTAGAACAGGCCATGTAGACACGAAAAAGTGTATCCTTGCTAATATGATCGAATATTTCTCAAATTACTCACCATTCTTATGCGTCATAATCGTGTTTTCGTTCAAGGTGAGGAGGAATATTTCAATTTAGACAAAATTCTACTAAAAAGCTTTAAAGAGCAGATTTAACATGTATTTTTGTGCCGCACCGTGCATACACTGGTCATAGTCAGCACTGTTTTAACAGTAAAAGAGGAATGAAACCCTTCTACTTCCCATGTCGTACTTATCGCGTTACCGCCGCTTCTGTTCCACGCTTTGCGCGAGATGGCTGCTGTTCGGTGCCTAGAATGAAAGGAGTTTTTAAGAACAATTTCTCTCGTTCTTTATTACTTGAGATGGTGGTTCGAGATTTACAAATAAAATCAGTCATCGTACTTTTTTAGGAGACACGAACTACGAACTACCCCAATATCAGTATGGATATTCTCAATACTGTTCTCTATACATTGATTTCTAAGGTGCTGAGGAGAACAATTTAAAAACCAAATGCATCTCTAGTTGGTTATCATTTCCTTCATTCTTGTGACCTTAACATTTGATTCATAAGCATTATTGTGAGGAGAAATTAGATGCTGGTCACTCTTGAGGTTTAAAGGGTTAGGACTACATGCACATGTCAAGAGAATAAAAAGTTGGTTTCATTTCCTTTGCGTTTCGCAGGAAAAGGTGAAAGCCTGGACTAATAATTGAAATAAAAAACAAGTCTAACTTGTTAACCAAAACGAACACTTTAATTTTTGGTCTAAGTATTTCGCGAGTGCAGAATCTCAAGGACATAATGCCTATTGTCCAGTGGCGAAGCTTGTAAAGGATTTTGGGCGGCCACTATTTTCTGACGTAACTTGGACAATGTTAGGCTGAAAAATATGACGTACTTGCTCGTTTGGATGGGGAAACCAGCCATTTCTTTCTAAGTAACGGGTCTCCAATACCAGGCACCTTTTTGGCATTATTGTACACCACCTTGATAATTTTATATTTTGAAGCGTGCCGGGAATTGTGTGCTTTTTCTACCGAAGAGGATTTTTTCTTCCTTAATTCGTTGATTCTGATAAAATATGTTTCATTTTGGTCATCTAGTATTTTTAAGTTGTGTCGCAAATCAGAAGCCAGATGTAGCCGCGCGAACAACTTAGACACCCACGAGTTGAAATATGCGTTGAGTCTGATCAATACACGAAATTCTGCAATGAAAAATTAAATTATGAATTGTTTCCTTCGTCTTCACTTTGCCAGCGGTATACATTGGTGTAATGGTAAGGTAAGTTCAAACTAGTGAGGATTCTAGTGGACTTTGACTTCATTACTTTATTTCTTTCTTAAACGGGGAGGTTAGCCGTGGCTGGGAAGGTGTGTTTTAGGAATTTTTTTTTATTATTTTCTTAACTCACATTGTTTAAAAAACTTAGTTCTTTGCAAAATTATTTATTTTTTTTAACCTCTCCTTGGTGGCTGATTGTGCGCTCGCATGTTAAGGAAACATTCGAGGTCGCGCGCGAAACGTGTGTTTGTCCGCGCGCTCTGACCATTGTCACGTGGTGAATGTTGACGTAAGCATACCGTCGCCATTTTGTAGGCTGGAGGAATCAAAATATCAGGGGATTTTCTTTCTTTTGAACGTTATCTTCAGCAGAACCGACCAGTTTGATCGCACCTCAAGTAAATAACTATTTGAAGATTTTTCTTTGTTAGATTTAGTCCATATAAAGGGTTTATTATCCTCTTACTACTTCAGATAGTTCTACCGGCTCAAGTCCTGTGTACTAATCCATGTACAAGTGAGTATATTCTGTTCACTGAGTTTTAAACGGTTCGAATAGCAAGTGACATTTGAACAAGGGTACACTTTGAACCGGAAACCTTGCTTTTAAGGTTAATCTGAGTAACTTAATCAAAGACTCTACAGCTGAAGAAAGAATGGTATGGCGCTGTGAAGAAAATAAAATGGCGCTTGTGGATAGTGATGGAACTTTCGTCCTCACGAAATGATATTCTGCGGTTGTTGTTTGGGTCAACTCTTGTCTGAAGAATTGAGGGTGTTACTCCGATGTCTTCCACACTAGAGGAGATTGATGGAAATTCTAACATCACGATCGATCTTGACGAAAAGGAATTGGATTCAAAATGCAGCGAGGAGGAAGTGCTTGTTAATGGTAATGGATGTGAAGACGATACAAATTTGAATGGCGATACAAGCGATAATCAGGATGAAAGCCATAATGTCAAGGCTCACAACTCGTTGTCTCCTTTAAATGGAATTACACGCGGAGGAGATCAAGAGGTAAACTTTATTTTAGCAGAATATGAGCACACGAAAGGCGAACTTTCTAAATTGCAGACGGATTACAGATTGTCTTTGGAACGTGAGAAGAGTTTGTGTGAAAAACTGAAAGATTATCATGCAAAAGAGGACTCAAGTGGTGAAGACTTGAGCAGGATAAACGAGGACTTGAGGAAAAATTTAGACGCAGTTCTTGAGGAGTTAATATCCTCAAAGGACGAGCTTAAAAGGTAGGTTCATGTTATAAAATTTGTAGACTGAAAATGTCACGTTAGCAATACGTGGGGCCACACTTCCATAGTAGGGTTGTGTTTTTTCTCTGTTTGTAGACATGCTTCTAATGTTAATGTTTCCTTGCCTCAGGGCGATATTGTTTCATCCCCTTTATTTAATTGAAAACAACAAGCTACGCAAAACATAATTAAATCTATGTTCTTTGCTTTTAAAATTCCTCTTAATTCATTTCTTGGCCTGATTTCTTGCTGATTGGGTTTGTAAGGAAGTGAAGATGTCTCCAACTTTTTTAGCTCACACAGAAGTCGTAATATCGGCAAACACATTGGCCTGCTTGCTTCAAAGAATCTTGGTCCAAAATTGAGAGTTGATCACATTGTTTGATCCAGAACATGATTTTGCTTACAAATGATCACGAATCAAATTACAAAGCATAAAACAGTATTTTGTTTGTGTTTGCCATGCACCTGCTGTACATTGTGTTACTTGATTATGTAATGACAAAGACCTGCTATATCTTGCTTCACCAGTCTCAAGATCAAAACATTACATCAATACATGCTCACTTCTTTCAACCAGTAATACTAATTGAAAGCAAATTATGAAGCTGGAAGAATTTGTTTTGTAGCCTATTCAACAATTTTGAGTTCATTTTGGTAATTTTCTTTTAAATACTACCAAATATCTTAAGTTTTTTATAAAGAACAAACACTTTGCTTGATCTAATTGTGATTTTTAATTAAGAATAAGGCCATGATGCCAGTTGTAATATATGGAAATATAATTTTTTTAGATGTGTTTTGTCTTTGTCATTATTTCCAAGAAAAATGACAAGATCTCATAAATTGTAATAGCTAGAGGTTGATTGTTGCTGAATTTTGTAGTAGATAATGTTATTAGAATGTTCTTTTACCCCAAAGGCTAAATTTGATCCCATTCTATTATTTTCATCCTGAGTAGTTTCTGAAAAATCAAACAATTCTTGATTCCTCATGAAGTGATAGATCTTCATGCATTGGTGAACAGCTGAAATTGTCATTGCTGCACTTTGAATGATATTCAGTTTAATCTAATTGTAAGTGGCAGTTTTTTTTTTCTCATGAACTGTGATGCTTTGCTCTAACAATTTTAATTGAAATAGTTGTAATCATAAAAAATAACTGCCAAGGAATTGATCTGTTTGGAAAGTGTAGAAGATAAAGAATTGTCTTCTGTATCAGAAACATTTCGGTTTAATCAGAATTGCAGATTGTAGGTAAGAGTAGCTGTCAAGTAATGATTTTGGTCTTTCTTTGTTCAACCATTTAGAGTTAAGGATGAGAATGATCAACTGGAGAAAGAACAGAGTAATCTAAATGCAGAAGTATCCAGGTTACAAGTTAGTGGAAATGAGGAAAGTGAAACACTTAGAAAGGCTAATCAGGAATTGGAACAAAAACTTCAAGAAAAGACTGAAGAGTTTGATGCTTCAAAAGAGAAACTCCATGCTCATGATCAGGCTGCAAAGAGAGCTATTGCAGCTTTGCAAAAAGAAATGGCTCTTAGAGTTGATCAGGTTAGTTGAAAAAAGAACTGGCTATGTTATGACTATATATATATATATATATATATTATGAGAGGAAAAAAGGACGCAACTACATTTCCCGACAAGCCTGTTTCGTGAATCGCTTCACTCTTCAGGGGTTTAATGAAAGAATATTCATGTGAATGAAATAGAATAGTCAATGAAGAGTGAAGCGATTCACGAAACAGGCTTGTCGGGAAATATAGTTGTGTCCTTTTTTCCTCTCATAATATTTATTCTGCTCTGCTTCAACGTATTGAGCACTGTTCCATGTGAAAATCGACTTGCAGACTTCCTATATATGTATATATATATATATATAGAGAGAGAGAGAGAGAGAGAGAGAGAGAGAGAGAGAGAGAGAGAGAGAGAGAGATAGATATATATATATAT